AAAACAACAACATTAGGAACGCCCCAGGCCACTGAATCTCCAAACGCGAGCACAAGCCTCGCTGACAGGAGGGGACGGGGGGGGGGGGATGGGGTTGGGGGGCTGAACGTTGGCATCACGTACTGCGGCGCTTCTAGGAGGGATCCGTCTGAGGCGCCTACCAGTACGAGGTGGAGTTGCAGAACCTTAGGAGTACTTGGAAATAGTTTTTAATTTTTTGGGTTCGATAATTCCTAAGAAACAGCACAACTTATAGTTTTTGCTGGGGTTCCGGGTTCAGTGTAGGAACGACTGCTTGCTTCGTCTGGGATGGGCCGCGGCCGCAGGGCGGCGGGCCCTTGGCACGGACGAGCGTTCGTTTGGCTTCGGGGGCACCGGCATGAAATCCAATGCCGGCCGCTTCGAGCCGCCTGGCTCAGATGTGGTCCTTATAGGGAAGCCCGGCTTTTTGGGGTTCCAAGGGTAGGTTCATGTAGGTTCACGGGCCCTTAATATGGTCCCCGACCTCCCTTAAAGGGTTCTGAGGCAGGCCCTTAATTTCCACAGCCATGCAACCACCCTTAGAGCCTTAGAGGGGTACGAAGCCCAAAGCTCCGCACGGTACCCTACACCACCCTAAACCCTAAACCCTAAACCCTAAACCCTAAACCCTAAACCCTAAACCCTAAACCCTAAGCCCTAAGCCCTAAGCCCTAAACCCTAAACCCTAAACCCTAGACCCTAGACCCTAGACCCTAGACCCTAAACCCTAAACCCTAAACCCTAAACCAAGGAAATATGGCGAGATGTTCGAGGGACTGCCAGGCGCCGTGATCACCTGCCTGCTGGACAGACGGGAGCCGCGACGTCACACGATCAGCGGCTCGTTCTACACGTGCGTGGCACAACTTGTTGTCCTTCATTCCTAGGTAGGATAGGGGGGACCCTTAAAAGGGAACCCCTTCTGAACCCTCTTCTGGCTCTCTTAACCAGGGACCTTATTCAGAGGGTCTTTATCCCCAAGGGTCCCCCTAATCCTATCCCCTACTCATAAGCTGCGAGTTACTTGCAACATGCATTGCGCGTTTGAGATTTATGTTCATTGTAGTGTGTGCGCGAGAGAGAGAGTGCGTTATACTTAGATACTTAGAATCATGCATTGAAATTTTAGCGTGTATTTCTGAAGTTATAATGCTTATGAGCTAGTAATAAAGTGTATCTTTCGCACGCACGTCTGTTTAATGAGATCCACCGCTCAAATCAAGTTTTTCGTACAGTCACCTCGTCGAGTCGGGTTTCTTTTGAACACTCGTCCCCCCTCTAAGAGAAACCAGAGCCCTGAGGCTACTGCCTGAATGGCAAGAACCTGGGAGTCGCTTTCCGGCTGCCCCCTTGGCTGGCGGAAGTTCCGCTGTACCCGGCCGTGTGTGGACGCGAGGAGCCTTGCAGACGCACGTAGGAGGCGATGAGCACCTAGACCCCTCAACCTCGAGAACTCTAAAAACCTAAGAGGCGCAAGAGCCCTAAGAGCCCTAAGAGCCCTAAGAGCCCGAAGAACCCCAAGAACCCTTGGAATCCTAAGAGCCCCAAGAACCCTAAGAACCAACCCTCAGCCCCTTAACCCCTCAACCCTCAGCCCTTAACCTTCATCCCTTAGCCCTAAGCCCAAACCCCAACCCCAAACCCCTGAGCCCGAACCCTGACCTAAACACCCGAAACCACAGCCCTCTGAGTGCCCTTTGCAGTTTGGGGCTTCTGAGAAAGGGATCCTACTATCTGGGGGTCTATAGTAAGGGTCCCGTAGCATTTGTAGCCCTAAGCCCGCATTCATCCCTACACCCAAAACCCTAAATCCCCTAAACCCTAAACCCCATAAACCCTAAACCCTAAACCCTAAACCCCATAAACCCATAAACCCATAAACCCATAAACCCATAAACCCTAAACCCTAAACCCTAAACCCTAAACCCTAAACCCTAAACCCTAAACCCTAAACCCTAAACCCTAAACCCTAAACCCTAAACCCTAAACCCTAAACCCTAAACCCTAAACGCCAGGACTGGAAGGCGGCCTGCCGCTTCCGGGACCTCCGCTTCCCGCACGGGGGCTACCGAGACTTGGACGAGGCAGGCTTGGGGAGTTCAAGGTTCAGGGTTCAGGTTTAGGGTTTAGGGTTTAGGGTTTAGGGCAAGGGTTTAGGGTTTAGGGTTTAGGGTTTAGGGTTTAGGGTTCAGGGTTTAGGGTTTAGGGAGTATCTTGAGGGTGTGGGGGCTTGGTGGGAGTAGCTCCACGGAGGTTGCCCAGGTTGGACGGATTCCCAGCCCTGTGAGATCCGGCTCTCCCTTTGGGTGGCTGTCCAGATTATGATCCCTTTTGGGGTACCCTAAATACTAGGTGCCGTATTATGATAGGGATCCAAAAAGGGACCATAATTTTGACAACCACCCACTTCTTGGTTCGGTATTTCTTTGCAATGCAGGAGTTCGTCTGGGGATGTGCCGAAGTATCTCCGACCATGAATGCTGCCTGCTTTCAAAGCTGCGATGTCCAACCGACCATACATTGTCCATTTTTAAACTGTCTCATTCTGATGACTGATGACAAGACAATGAGTACGATCAGTTCCCCACAGCAAGCAACCCTAAACCCCATGCACCCTATAAAGTCCCACAATCCCGATAAGCCCGAAAAAAGTCCCCATAAACCCTGTAAAGCCTATAAACCCTATATACACCCTCTAAACCCTGCAAACCCTGTAAGCCCTCTAAACCTTGAAATGCCCTGTAAGTAAAGGCCTGCAGCCAGCACGTGGTCACCGACGACAACGCCGTGGACGCCGCCAGCGCCGCCGCGGCGGTTTTCGCTGCGGCGCCCTTCGTCGAGGAGCGATTGAAGGGCCCCCTTAAAGGGTCTCAGGATCTAGAGAGGGATCAGCCACACCGTTGGGGTCTTGTAGGGTTTGTAGAGTGTTTAGAGCGTTTGGGGCGTTTACGGCTTCCACTGCTTTTGGGGGCTTATAGGGTTTAGATGGTGTAGAGGGTTTAGGCTTAGGGATGTAAGGTTCAGAGTTTCAGAGTCTAGGGCCTATGGATTTCCGTGTCTCACGGCCCTTCGGTTACACCCTAGCCCTAAACCCTAAACCCTAAACCCTAACCCCGAACCCCTAACCCCTAACCCCTAACCCCTAACCGCTAACCCCTAAACCCTAAACCCTAAACCCTAAACCCTGGACGCGCAGACGCCCCCACGACTCGTCGAGGAGCGGGAGCTCCGGCAGCTCGACGTACCGGATGAGAACCTCATTGAGCTGCGCAGTGAGTCAGAGGTGCCTGCGGGACCAAACGAACCCCAAAACTGGGGGTCAAATACCCTACGAGTACTCCTCCTCCTGCCGGTCTCGGATCACCTAGTGAAGCAGCATTTGCTCTGGAATTGGGTGCAGAAGCGGTTTTGGTAAATGCTTCAAGAGCGAAAGCCAAAAATCATAAGTTTTGTACTATGACCAAAACTAAATTTACAACATTTTAGCGGAAATAGAATCCTTTGCCTACTTCAATCAATACCTATACAATTGATTGATTTTAAAACTCCAGAAACTTATGCAAACTTTTTTTTGCAAACGGATGAGAATTTTTGCAATCACTATTTGTTCTCTGCTCCTACTCCTACAACAACAGTTCTTATTCAGCTATATGGAAAAACCCTAAACCCCCTTCTGGTCATATTAGCTATATGGAAAAGCCATAAACCCCCTTCGGGTTCATGTAGTCCCCAAGGTGCCGATAAGCAGCCAAGAGCTGAAGACCTGGCTCGTGCAGGCAAGCGCCGGCGGGCCGGGGGGGGGGGGTCGAGTTCCAGTGGCTCGGTGGGTTTAGGGTTTAGGGTTTATAGGGTTTATGCGGTTTACAGGGTTTATGGGGTTTAGGGTTCATAGGGTTTATACGGGTTCGGGGTTTAGGGCTAATTCCAGAAAAATATTTCGGAGGTTTTTTTTGGGGTCCACGCCTGCGCACCCTATTTTCGGTGCCCGAAGCCCCTGCGCCCCTCAACCCCAAAACGTTTATCCTTAGGATCTAGTACAAAAGGGGTCCGAAGAGGGCACGTGCTTGAGCTAGCTCTCCATGTGCAAGGCCAGAGAGGGTGCTTTTCAAGAGCTGCGCGGAAGTATTTTAGCTCAGGGGTTTACGGTTTAGGGTGCCTCAACCCTAGACCCTCAACCCTCAACCCTCAACCCTCAACCCTCAACCCTAGACCCTAAACCCTAAACCCTCAACCCTCAACCCTAGAGCCCTAATGGCTTGGCCCCCTTGGATTGCTTTGCAAGACCCAAAGAGCCCAATACCCCTTAATGAAGCAATAGACCTTAAAATCAAATTAAGGATCCCTACATAAGTGAAGGTATATTCCTTAGCTCAGGAGATTTTGTGCTCTTTGGGGACTTGGGGCCTTAAGGGTGGCCCGAGCGATGGCGTCGGTGCCTTCTCTTACGGTTGAGGGGTTAGGGTTTGGGGTATAGGGTTTAGGGTTAAGGGTTTAAGGTTTAGGGTTTAGGGTTAGAGTTTAGGGTGAACCCTAGACCTTCTTATTGTCCGACGTGGGAGAAGACGACGCACAGGAGTACGGCATCAGCAGCGCCGACTTCCATGCCGAGTATTCGGACAGCAGCTGGGACTCCGACTTGCACGCTTTCTGCCTGTTTAGGGTTTAGGGTTTAGGGTTTAGGATTTAGGGTTTAGGGTTTAGGGTTTAGGGTGTCATCAGGGTTTAGCTAGGGTTTAGGTTTTAGGGCTTAGGGTCCACTTAACCCCAAAACTCACATGTTTTCCTAAAGCCTAACACCGATACGCGGACAAACACACAGAGCTTTCCCCTTCCATTCCGAAGTCAGTTCAGTGGACCCTCATTCCTAAACCCGAAGCCCTTAAACCCCAAACCCTACACCCTACACCCTACACCCTACACCCTACACCCTAAACCCTAAACCCTAAACCATAAACCCTAAACCAACCCGAGGCAAATGCATGGCTGTGCTGGCTTTCCCGAGCCATCGGGTCTCCCGCAGCATGGTGAACGCGCCTCCTCCGAGGATGGTGGTCCGGCTGAAGCCGCCGAGATGGCAAGGGGTTTAGGGTTTAGGGTTTAGGGTTTAGGGTTTAGGGTTTAGGGTTTAGGGAAGCTCATTTAGAGTGTTTGTTGTGGTTTTGCTGATGCACCAGTGCTAACTACAGTAACTGCGCCGCCACCACCACCACGATGTTGATGATGACTTCGAAGATATGTTTATTAGTAGAACCCTTGGCTTGCTCTCTGTGCTCTTGCCGCTATACTCCCTCTTGGACGTGATTGTGCACGGCTGCTCCTGCTGTTCCCATCATCGCTATGATGACGACATGTATCCTGTTCGAGGCGGTCGATTCCAGGCATTCCCGTTTTTGGCTCAGAGTTCCCAGAACCCTAAGCCGCTTAACGTCTTAGGGTAGTTATATTATGGTCCCTCAGTATGGGCCCTCAAGAGGGGACCCCTACTTTTTTACCCGTTATGTACCCCAAGGGCCCTTTGGCTTGAGCCATCCAAGGCCGGACTTCAGTGACGAGGCGAAGGCGATGCTGGCCGTGCATCGGCCGCACAAGGGTGCCACGACGGACGCCGTGGCGCGGCGCCTCATTGCAGGCCCGGGCGGGAGGGGTTTAGGGTTTAGGGTTTAGGGGTTAGGGGTTTAGGGTTCATAGGGGGCTAGGAGTACAAAGGTCGACTCTCAACTCCCTAGGCTTGGGCAGGCCAGGCGCGGGGCATGCATCATCCAAAACTCTACACCCTACACCCTAGACCCTACATCCTAAACCCTAAGCCCTAAACCCTAGACCCTACATAAACCCTAAACCCTAAACCCTAAACCCTATACCCTAAACCCTAAACCCCTAAACCCCTAAACCCTACACCCTAAACCCTAAACCCTCCTAAACCCTAAACCCTGCCAGCTGCCGTGGGGCCATCAGGTGCCCTGGACGGAGACACCGTCATCACCAAGGATCAGCTTCGGCAGATCCGGGCCAAGAAGCTGCCATCAGCCGCAGATTCAGGCCATTATGGGGCCCTTTTTTCAGATCCGTAGGTAGGCCCCTGGGATACTTCAAAATTTCTCATTGGGTTTAAGAGGATCATATTTAGGATTTTTTCAAGAGGGTCTTCAGGACCATCCTAGATCCTCAAAAGGGAATAGAAGGGGCCACTTAGGAGCCTCTGAAGGGGACCTCTTAGGGGGTGCATGCTTAAAGGGGTCTGAGTAGAAACCCTAAGCCCCAAACCCAAACTTCCTAGACCCAAAACCCTCGACCCTAAACCCTAAACCCTAAACCCCTCAACCCCTCAAACCCCTCAAACCCCAAAACCCTAAACCCTAAACCCTAAACCCTAAACCCTGAACCCTAAACCCTAAACCCTAACTCCCTTGAGGCTACGAGGCCAAGCGGGAGCCGCCGCCCGCGCCACCGATGCCCTCCCTGGAGTCCTCCTCCGACTCTTGCACCCGCAGACTGGCAACCCCTCGTTCCCTTGAACGGTCTAAGGGGTCATATGTACATATATATGTCTATATATATATATTATCTATTTATTTATTTATTTTTTTGTTTGTTTTTTTATTTGTTTATTTATGTGTTTAAGTTTTTTTTATACACACATATATATATATACACATATATATATACATATCTATAGATATTTCTTTATATCTAGAAGTATATGTATATATATATATATCTGTACAAACATCATATAGTGTATGTACATATGTATGCATAGTAGCAGGGCATCCTTCTTCGCAAGTCCTCTTCTCCCCCCCCCCCCCCTTCTTTCGGATTCCTCGGTTCTGCGCTGGGGGAGTTGAGGACTCCGAGTCGCCCAGCTCCTTCAAAGCCGCCAAGAGCGAGGCGCCCGTCGCCTTGGGGAGGGGGGGGGGTAGGTTTGGGGAGGTTTGGGGAGGTTTGGGGAGGTTTGGGGAGGTTTCGGGTTTAGAGTTTAGGGCTTGGGTTTAGTTAAGGTTCAGGGTTTAGGGTTTAGGCTTTAGAGTTTAGAGTTTAGGGGTTTGGGGATAAGGGCGGTTGAGGAGGTTGAGGGTGAGTTTGAGGAGGGTTCAGGGTTTAGGGATTTTTTGTGGCTTAGGGTCGGGAGTCGGAGTTTGCGGGTTTAGAAGTGTGTACGCATATTGTAATAGGTTTGGGTACCACGACAATTTTTGTGTGCTGGATGATCTCTTTAGGGGAGTTTGGGGGTTTTGAGAGCTCAGGGGTCTAGGGCTCTGGGCTTATAAGGCTTTTTCGGGCTTAGAGGGCTTATCAGACTGACAGGGACTATAGAGATTATAGGGATTGTAAGGATTCGAGGGCGTAATTATAGGGAATTTTCGGTCTTAGAGGGCTTATGGGGTTCAGGGTATATAGGTATCGCGGCTCTGCCTTGAACCAGCCGCATTCCCCCCTTTATTTTTTAGGGTTGAGGTTCTCTGATAGCCCCCTTTAAGCAGAGAAGGGGCACCGATGTGGTTCCTAGGTTACTCTTGGGGTGTAGTGTAGCTTAGGATCCCAAGCCGACTTCTCTGTTGGTCGCCTCTTATGACAAAGCAAGCGGGCTCATTTTTGGGGTTCTTATCCAGATAGGCTTTCGATCACGGGGAGAGACGGAACCCTAAACCCTAAACCCTATACCCTAAACCCTAAACCCTAAACCCTGAACCCTAAACCCGAAACCCTAAACCCTAAACCCGAAACCCTAAACCCGAAACCCTAATCCCTAAACCCTAAACTCTAACCCCTAAACCCTAAACCCTAAACCCAGGAGATCGCGAAGGAATCGCCGCCAGCGAAGCGGCCGCTGCCAGAAAGGCGGAAGCCCAGAGAGCCAGGGCTGGAGACTACCTGGGACAGTCTTTACCTACATGAGGGTTTAGGGTTTAGGGTTTAGGGTTTAGGGTTTAGGGTTTAGGGTTCAGGGTTTAGGGTTTAGGGTTTATAAGGCTACAGTCTTATGGGTTATACCCTACTAATTTAGGGTAGTTGCTACTAACCTGCAGGTAAATAGAGTCCCAGGTAGGGTTTCAGAGGTTTAGTAATGGCTGGGCTTTGGTAAGGGCTTTTTGAGTTTTGGGGGTTTCGCGCTTCAGGTCCTTCATGTTGCGTTTTCGTTGGGGGGTGGCCCCCCTAAACCCCCTACACCCTCTAAACCCATTTATATAAGCCCCTAAAACCCCTTCAAAACCCTTCAAACCCCTAAACCCTTTGAACCCTTAGAACCCTTCAAGCCCTTTAAGCCCCAAACGCCAAACCCTCGGAGGGAGCAGGGTCTCGGGCACCTGACGGCAGGCAGCCAGACACCCGGCCGAAGGACGTGGGCTGGCATTCGGGGTTCAAGGATTGTCGAGGTTTGGGACTCTAGGGGCTTTAGGGGCTTTAGGGGCTTTAGGGGTTGTTTTTTCGGGGTTGCTTAGGGGTTTAGGGTTTTTTTCGGCGCCTGGGCTTGCAGTTTCTTGAGGAGGGCCCCCCAAAACCGCCAAAGCCGTTTGCCTTCACCCTCAGCCCAACGTTTCGCTGTGTCCCAGAGTAGACCCTTGTTTCCTTTTCTTAGGGTTGAGGTTCCATTATAAGCCCTTATAAGCCCCTTGAAGCCGAGGAAGGGCGCCCTTTTTGTTCCTAGGTTCCTCTTGGGAAGACCTAAACCCTAACCCCTAAACCCTAAACCCCTCAACCCCTCAAACCCCAAACCCAAAACCCTAAACCCTAAACCCTGAACCCTAAACCCATAAACCCTAAACCCTGAACCGTCAGCGGAATGGTTTCTTGGAGGACATCAAGTCTAACCCTGGTGGCAGCCGCCTCCTGCAGGGAGCTTTGCGTGGTGTCGTCGGCGCGCCTCCTGGCTGGTTGAGTTAAGGGTTTAAGGTTTAGGGTCTCGAGTGTAGGTTTAGGGTTTAGGGCTTAGGGTTTAGGGTTTGGGGTTTGGGGTTTAGGGGTTACAGGGTTTAGGGGCTTGCTTTGGGGTACAGTCCCGACAACCCCCAACCAAAACGGGATATCACGGCATCGCTGGATGGTCGCGCTGCGGATGGTTGGGTATCTCAGGACGCGCCAGCGCGAGGCTGCGGCGAAGCCTGCCAGAGGCCTTATCACCAGGGCTTTGGCTTAGGGACTGGGTAGGTAACCTTTAACCTTTTTTTGGTTGTAAAGAATCCTACAAAAAATAGAGGTTGACCTTTTTTGGGTTAGGGTTTTCAGCCCCTAGGTAGAGGGGCCTTGTACTCCAAACCGTACTCCATGAACACTGAGGCGTAAGTCCTCGACCTTTCACGACAGAGTTAAGCAGGACATAGCACTATCAAGAAGGTGAGCCAGCCCGTAAACCTCATTTAAAACCTAAACCCCCTAAGCCCCCAAAACCCCCAAACCCTTAAAACCCCCCTAAGACCCCCCTAGTCCCCAGTGCCAGGCGATGCAGGCAGTAAGAGCAGCGGCGCAACGAAGCCCCAGGGACCGCGGAACGCGCTGTGGACTTGAGAAAAGAGCCGTGCGCGTAAGGAGGCTCTTCTTGCCCGGTTTTGGGCTTAAAGGCTTACCTAGAGGGCTTAGAAAGAAGAGAGATTGGGGTTGAGGTTTTCGATTTTCGGGTTCTACGAGCAGGTGCTAGGAGTTCAGAGCAGGATCTGACATGGGGTGCTTCAGGGTTTAGGGTTGAGGGTTTAGGGTTTAGGGTTTAGGGCGCGCCTTGTACTCCCAAATGCAAAGATTCCTGTTGTGGGAAGCCCCGAATACAGGTACCTCTAAGTGTTGCCAACCCTCATATTCGGCCTTCCTCAATTGCTAGACGCCGATGCTCCAGGCCCATCTCAACATCTACCGTTTCCAGGGTTCAGAGACGCAGAGATTCTCCAAATTTGGGTCCCTTTTGGGGGTTCTTCTAGGCCGGCCCCTAATATCTAGGGTGCCCGAAAAGAGACCCATCATTTAGAGAGCTGACCCTATCGGCAGGACCCCTCATGACAGCAGTGTCAGGCTGGTGGGGCCGGTGGAGCCAAGGCGTTTAGCATCCCCGAGCAGGACTCGCGTCCGTCGCTGCTTCCGAGAATGGGGGGTACCCTTCTTGGGGTCCCTTTAAGGGGATCTATTCTATTTGGGGTATAGAAGGCGTACCCCTATGTTGGGAAATACCCACTTGTTGGGAGCACGTGCAGGCTTTTGGTGAACCCCGAAACCCAAACCGCCACACAGCCGAAAAGAGCACTGAGCCCTGAACCCGCGTGCCCTTCCCCGCCCAAACCCTAAACCCTAAGCCCTAAGACCCTAAGCCCTAACACCCTAAGCCCTAAACCCTCCACGCTAAACCCTAAACCCTAAACCCACATGAGGACAACAGCGCTCTTCGAAAGGTCCGAAACTGGGTGGCGGTTCCTGCATCGCGGCAGAGCCCTGCCTTCGATATTCCCGCAGCCCGGCCACAAAAGCATTGTTAGGGTTTAGGGTTCAGGGTTCAGGGTTTAGGGTTGCCAGGGTTTGTGGCTGAATTATAGGTAGGGCTTATCGTAGTTTAAGGTGAGGGCTTGTTGCTAGAGCTTTCGAAGGGTTCGGGGGTTTGGATCTAGGGATCAAGCACTCCGCACTTCCGGTTTCTTTCATAGTGACCCGGTCTTGGCCACATTGACACGGACTGCAATGTTTGTCCGTGCAGCTTCTGCCAAGGGACTAAAGGAGGGACCCTTAGAAGGGATGTTAGGGTTCTTTAGGAGTTCTGTAGGGGCTACTGAGGTATGCAGGGACTATATAAGGTGTATATATATATATATGTATATATATATATATGGGTTATATAGGGGAATAAGATTAAGGGTCCCTTCTAGGGTTCCCTCCTTTTTACCCCTTCAGCTTTGCAGCTCAGGTCAGCGAGCAGTACCCCGACAGCCAGTTCCCTCTTGGGGAATGCGTCGAGTGCTCCTCCACGGGGCCGCAGAGCTTTTGGGTAATATATATATATATATACATATATAGCTCTTAACCGCTAGAACAGGGTTTCGGGGGGGGGGGGGGGGTATTATAGCAAAATTAAAAGGGGCCATGAGGGAATACTATTCGATGTGGCACTGTCTGCGGCTGGCATGCCTTTATAATCTAGCTTGATGTCAAGGAGCTGAAAGTGGAATTGACGTAACAAGGGTTTAGGGTTTAGGGTGTAGGGTTTAGGGTTTAGGGTTTAGGGTTCTTCCCTATCTGCCCAATCTTATGACTATAGATGACGCCACGCGCTTCTGCGGGAGGTACGTCGGCTCACACGCCTTCCGGACGACGTCCGCGGAGAAGCGTGAGGCGGCCGCAGCTGGTGCACTCCCGGGTCTGGTACTAGGACCCAGAGCGGGGGCTTATTCCCTTTTTTAGTTGAGGCTCCCTTCCAAACCCAAAAGGGTGCTCTTTTATCCCTAGGCTACTCCTGGGTCTAGAGTATATTTGGGGTTTTGTAGGCGAGCCGGTAGTGACATGTCAGGCGTGATTGGGGGGGGGGGGGTGCTTCCGAGTTTTCTCAAGCCCCCTTCGAGAATTATTTCTCAAGCCCACCTTCAAGCCCCTTCAAAGCCCCCTTGAATTCGAATTTGAGGAAGTCCCCCTTCTCAAGCCCCCTTGAAGCCCCTTCGAAGACCCCCTTCAAATTGAATTTGAGAATTCTACAGCTCATGATTTTTTTGGGGGCTTCAAGCCCCTTCTCAAGCCCCCCTTGTTCGGCCTCAAATTCAAGCTCCCCCCCTTAAGCCCCCTTTACAAAATTCAGAAAGATCATACCTGTTTGGCTTGCAGTCGCAGCTAAATCACACTTGTCACTCGGTTGGTTGCATACCGTCCAAGCAATCAGGGGGTTTTCCAACTGCGTTGCTGCACTTTCGGGAATCTCATATAAGGCCCCTGGAATGCTTATGGATCTTGCGCAGGCGTGCGTGTTAAGCTCGAGCACTGTGGGACTAGGGCCCAGCTGTGTGCAGCTCTGTGAGTTGTGCACATTTGCTTGGGCTCAATTAGAGTTGCCATCTTCGCGGCAAGAGCCTGCTGGAACTTCCCAAAAAGCGCTACCCTCAACTCTTTGAGACCAATCTCCTCAACTTAGAGTTCTGTCCGCTTCCCCCGTCCCCCCCTCCCCTCTCCCCACCTACCCCCTCCCCCCCCCCCCTCCAAGCAGGGAAGGGGAAGCCTTAACCTACCCCGCCCCCCCTTTCAGGTCTCAAGATCCCGTCCAACATGACCACGCCCAACATCGAAGATTTGTGTAATCTTCGCTGTCGGGAGAATCCGCCCCTCTTCCCTTCAAAAACCTCAAACAAAAGGCCCAAAACCCAAACCCCAAGCCCAAAACCATAAACCCTACCCCCCCCCCCCCTTTAAAAAAAAAAAAACACAAAATAAAACAACAACATACAAGCAACAAACAAAAGAAGAAAACGGCTTTCCCTCGCCAGCTCGAGCGGCTCGCTTCCTACGACTACGAGAAGATCCGCAAAGCCGGAGAGGTCCATCGCCAGGTTCGGAAGTGCGCCACACCTGGGAAGGGAAGCCGTTTTAGGGCTTAAGGTTTAGGGTTTAGGGTTTAGGATTTAGGGTTTAGGGTTTAGGATTTAGGGTTTAGGGAGGTTACATGGTCCACCTAATATGGAAGTGCGTCAGGCCTGGGGAGGCGGAGGGCTGAGGGTTTGGCTTACGGATTCTTAGTAGGGAATGAGGGAAGTAGGTACCTTGTTATTTTATCTCCACCCTTGGGAAAGGTGATAACAACCCTAAACCCTAAACCCTAAACCCTAAACCCTAAACCCTAAACCCTAAACCGTGAACCCTAAACCCTAAACCCTAAACCCTAAACCCTAAACCCTAAACCCTAAACCCTAAACCCTAAACCCGAAACCCGAAACCCTAAACCCTAAACCCCATTAAGAAGGGATTCTACCGGGTGTCCGAATTCCCTCATGACCTACGAAGAACCCGCAAGTTGTGGGATGGGTAGACAAGGGCCCAAAGAAAGGGCTCATACTATTGAACCTTAGGGTTTAGGGTTGAGGGCTCAGGGTTTAGGATTTAGGGTTCAGGGTTTAGGGTTTAGGGTTTAGGGGTTAGGGTGCTTCGGGTGAAGTGTGGGTAGGGCTGTAAGGGCCCACTGAGGATGTACCCTAAACCCCAAAACCCTAAACTCCAACCCTAAACGTTTTTTTCTTCGGTTGGCTTCCCTGATGAACCGCCCTTAGAGACATTTGTGTCCGAGGCTCCTTGGGATCCTAAGAGAATGGAGCGCGCTGCTGGGGTTGGGGTTTGGGTTTAGGGTTTAGGGTTTAGGGTTTAGGGTTTAGGGTTTAGGGTTTAGGGTTTAGGGTTTAGGGTTTAGGGTTTAGGGTTTGGGATTTAGGGTTTAGGGTTTAGGGTTTAGGGCCGCATTCGCCACCGGAAGGCTTTTCGCACAGGGGCTGCCTTTACGATTCTGGCACAGCTTGGGCATGAAGCGCCGCCAGATCTTTCACATGCATGTGGGCTCTGACTTCCGAACATTTTCTGAAAATCCTACAGCCCCTAAGCCCTCAAAGCTCAACCCTAAACCCTGAAGACCCTAAAGCCCCAAAAGCCCCCAAAAGCCCCCAAAAGCCGGAGGTACGTGCAGTCCTTCGTGAAGCCTGGCTTGAAGATGACGGAGATCTGTCAGCGCCTGGAGAGAAAAACCCACGAGCTAGTGGTGGTCCGGGCCTTTGCCGTGCTCAGGGTTTAGGGTTTAGGGTTTAGGGTCTAGGGTTTAGGGTTTCGGTTTCAGGGGTTCGAAGGGTTTAAGGGTTTAAGGACAGAAAGGGTTTGGAGGGCTTCAGGGGTTTAAGGTTTAAAGGGTTCAAGGGTTTAGCGTAGGTTTAGGCGGGTTTCAGCCCCCGCTTTGTGGCTGCCAGCGCGGAACAGCTTCTCCGGCCTGAGCCGCTGCAGACCTCACAACCCTAGACCCTAAACCCTAAACCCTGAACCCTAAACCCTAAACCCTAAACCCTAAACCCTAAACCCTAAACCCTAAACCCTAAACCCTCAACCCTCAACCCTCAACCCTAAACCCTAAACCCTCACAACCCTGGCCCGCTGGCTCAGGCCAACGGCCTGGAAGCCGGTTGGGGCTTTCCCACAGGACCAGATCTCAGCATCGGCGGGGGAGATTCTGGTCTCGAAGGGCGGTTTTAGGGTTGTTTAGGGTCTAGGGTTTAGGGTTGTTTAGGGTTGTTTAGGGTTTAGGGTTTAGGGGGTTTTTGGGGCTTAAGGGGTTTAAGGGCTTAGGGGCGTTGAGGATTTCGGGACTTTGGGAGTTCAGAGCTTTAAGGGTTTAGGGGTGAAGGCGTTCTTGCCTGGCACGCAGCTGTCCAAAGCCCCCCAAAACTGCCAGCACCCAGAGCCTTCCAGCTGTATAGCCCAAATGCGAAGCTCCATACCGAGGTTGCTCACTCAACTGGGCGCGAGCCGGCCTGTTTCTTTCTTGGGTACCGGCTGAAGCCTACAAGGGTTTATGGTTCCTATACCTTAGTAGGATTTATCGTAGTATATTGGGACGTTCCCCCTTAGACTAACACATGTAGGGAGCTTCAGAGTTAGAAGGTAAAGTCTGAGTGCAGCTTGTTTATGCAGGAATTCCCCCGAATCCCAGACCTAGTATCCCTAAACCCTTAACCGTGTAACCCTAAACCCGAAGCCCTAAACCCTGAAACCTGAAACCCTAAACCCTAAACCCTGTATCCCTGTAACCTAAACCCTGTAGCCCTAAGCCCTAATCCCTAATCCCTAAAGCCTAAACCCTAAACCCTTAACCCTAAACGAAGGTCCATGCAAGCCAGGTGGCAGCTCACTATACCCCCAACTACGGGGACGAAACAGCTGGCAGCTCGGAGTTTCCTCCGACCCTGAAGCAGAGAAATCTTTGTGAGGGAGGGTTTAGGGCTTTGGGTTTAGGGTTTAGGGTTCAGGGTTTAGGGTTTAGGGTTTCAGGTCCAACGCTGGTGTGGAGTTAGGGCTTAGGGATTCGGGTTCAGGGCGCCTAAACCTTGAACCCTGTAACCCTAAACCCTGAACCCTAAACCCTCAGCCCTAAACCCTAAACCCTAAACCCAAAGCTCTAAACCCTAAACCCTAAACCCTAAACCCTAAACCCTAAACCCTAAACCCTAAACCCTAAACCCTAAACCCTAAACCCTAAACCCTAAACCCTAAACCCTAAACCCTAAACCCTCAACCCTGAACCCTGAACCCTGAACCCTGAACCCTGAACCCTAAACCCTAAACCCTAAACCCTAAACCCTAAACTCGGAGGGGACTGCGCAGCGCCACACTTGGCACTATGGGGCCTTAGGGGGGGGGGTCAGAACGGAGGCCAACAGTTCACGTGCAATGCTCCGGTGATTTAGGGGTTTCCGAAAATCGGGGTACCGGTTTTAGGGTTTAGGGTTTGGGGTTTAGGGTTTACCCTTTCTGGGGGGTCCTAGAATAAGGATCATAGTATTGGGGGTACCCCTGTTTTGGGAACTGCCCATTTAGGGTGTTAGGTTCTTAGGGGGTTCTTAGGGAGGTTCTTAGGGGTTTTAAGGCTTGGTGGTTCCTGGCGGGTTTAGGGTTTTAGGGTTCTTGGGGTTTATGCTTCGTAGGACTTTCGGGCTTTGGGGTTTAGGGTGTTAGGGTTTTAGGCTTCATGGTTTGAGAAGTTTGAGGCTGAAGGGCTTACGAGATACAGGGCTCTAGGGTTTGTAGAGACCATGTGGAAAGCCAACTGGACCCCCACGGCCTGGCCGCGCGTACCCGCGTCCTCTTTCTCGTCGAAAGATGAGGCCGGCCATGTTTGGGATATGAGATTTCCGAAATTAGGGGGGTACCTCATTGGGGTCCTTGTTTTCGTTAGGGGGATCCGACTATTTGGGGGTCAAAAATAGGGGCCCCTTACTATCGTAAACCCCCATATGGAACCAGCTTGGAGATGCATCCTGTGCTGAACCCAAGGTGTGTGAGGGAAGCCAGTGAAGGAGGAGCTGTCGGGTAGAGTGCTGGTGGGACATTCAAGGTGAGCTTCCTTGATTTGTGCTTTTTTGAATTTCCTCTGCCTTCGCGAAAGGTTACTGGCTGAAGCCTCCGCCTAGAAGTTCTCCCCGATAGACTCAGGAAGCTCGCAAGGCAGCCATGGCGACCGCAAGGCCCGTGGTCTCCGTGTTCAACTTCGAGAACCCGACCGAGAAGACCGGCACCGTGAAGATGCCTCACGTCCTTACCTCCCCCCTTCGCCCGGACCTCGTCCGTGACGTGCACATGAACATGAACAAGAACAAGCGCCAGGCCTACGCCGTCAGCGCCAAGGCCGGCTACGACACCGCCGCCGAGTCCTGGTGCACGGGCCGCGCCGTCGCCCGTATCCCGCGTGCGCCTGGCGGTGGCACCCACCGCGCTGGCCAGGCCGCCTTCGGCAACCAGGCACGCGGTGGTGGCATGTTCAACCCGACCCGCATCTGGCGCCGCTGGCACCGCCGCGTGAACGTCACGAAGAAGCGCCACGCGGTGGCGGTGGCCCTGGCCGCCAGCAGCCTCCCGCCACTGGTCATGGCCCGCGGCCATCGCATCAATAAGGTGGCCGAGCTGCCCTTGGTGGCTCGGTAGCCCAGTGGTGCCCTTTACCCCTTTTTTTTGGGTTATGGTTTCCCTTCTAAAATAAACAACCCCAAAAACAAGGGTGCCCTTATTATGATATGGTTACCAAGGTGGTCTCCGACGGCCTTGAGTCGCTCACAAAGACCAAGGCGGCTGTCCAGGCCCTCCAGAAGCTGGGCTGTGGCTCAGCACAGTGGTACCCATTTTTCCTTTTTTGTTGGGTTCAAGGTTCGTTTGTGTATAGTACCCCCACCCCGAACAAGAGGTGCCCTGATCATAATACCACTAAACCCTAAACCCTAAACCCTAAACCCTAAACCCTAAACCCTAAACCCTAAACCCTAAACCCTAAACCCTAAACCCTAAACCCTAAACCCTAAACCCTAAACCCTAAACCCTAAACCCTAAACCCCAAACCCCAAACCCTAAACCCTAAACCCTAAACCCTATACTGGGCTACCAAGGCGGGGAGGAGCTGCAGAAGATCATGGACTCCAAGAAGATCCGGGCCGGCAAGGGCAAGGCGCGCAACCGCCGCTACGTGCGCCGCCTCTTGGGTTTGTTTTGGGAATAGTTTTGAAGTTTTTGGGTACTATAATTCATAAGAAACAATTAAAAATATAATTTTTTAATTTTTTGGGGTACTAGAATTCCTAAGAAACAGCTAAAATTATACTTTTTGCCAGGGTTCCAAGATCAGTGTAGGCCTGGGCCCCCTGGTGATCTACAAGGAGGACAACGGCATCACCAAGGCTGGGAAGCCCAGTTGGTGCCCTTTTCCCCCTTTTTTGTTTGGTTTGGTTCAGGGTTCCCTTGTAAAGTATCCAACCCCCCAAAAAGGGTGCCCTTATTCCAATATCCCTAAACCCTAAACCCTAAACCCTAAACCCTCATTGTAGCATGGTTCCCTGGCTACCAAGTGCAGGCCATGCGCAACATCCCGGGAGTGGAGACGGCCCACGTGGACCGCCTGAACCTGCTGAGGCTCGCCCCGGGAGGCAACTTCGGCCGCTTCTTGGGTTCTGAGCAAGTACGCGACCTTTTTTGGACCATTCTTCTCTTTTTCTAGTTGTTTATGAGCCTTTCTTCTTCTCTGTTAGTATTATTACCATTCTTGTATTAGTATTACTACCATTCTTACTATGATTGTTATTGTTACTATTATCATTATGTTTGTTTTTGTAGTTTTTTTGGAAGTGGGGTACACGTACATTCATGTAAAAGCCCCTTCAAAATTTTACAAGCAACCCCCTTTCCAAGCTTTTAGTGCTCCAAGTAAAGACGCTCAGCAAGGCCCCCTAACCCTCAACCCTCAATCCTCAACCCTCAACCCTCAACCCTCAACCCTCAACCCTCAACCCTCAACCCTCAACCCTAAACCCTAAACCTTAAACCTTAAGCCTTAAACCTTAAACCTTAAACCCAGCAAGGCTTCATCATCTGGACCGAGGGCGCCTTCAAGCGTCTCTCCGAGATCTACGGCACGGCCAAGGGCGGTGCGCCCATGAAGAAGGGCTACCACCTCCCCCGCGCAAGCACCTTGGTGAGGTTTAAGGGTTTAGGGTTTAGGGTTTTGGGTTTAGGGTTTAGAGTTTAGGGTTTAGGGTTTAGGGTGTAGGGATTGGAGTATAGTATGGTCCCCTATGGAAAATGACGTCCTCTTCTTGTTCCGAGAAAGCCCAGGGGAACAGCAAAACCTCACGTTGTTCTTGATTGTGGCTCGAGGGGGGGAGCCATGGAGTAGATGGTCCCAATGTTAGGCTTCGTCCCTGAAGCCTGAACCCTCAAGCCCCATCTTGCTAAACCCTAACCCGAAAGCCTCAGACCCTAAGACCCTAAGACCCTAGGACCCTAAGACCCTAAGACCCTAAGACCTTAAGACCCTAAGACCCTAAGACCCTAAAACCCTAAAGACCTCAAGCACCTGAAAACACCCTAGGACCCTGAGAACCGCCAAGGCATGCAGAACGCCGACCTGGCGCGCATCATCAACAGCACGGAGGTCCAGTCCGTTCTCAGGCCCAAGCTTGAGCCCCCCACCAGCGCCAAGAAGGCCAACGCCCTGAAGAACAAGGCCCGCAAGGATTCAGGGGGGGCGCTTTTGGGGATGTTTAGGGTTCAGGGTTTAGGGTTTGGGGTTTGGGGTTTTGGGTTTATAGGGTTAAGGGCTCACGGGTTAAAATTGCCTATGTGCCCTGAGGCGCATCCTGTAGCTTTGGGGGGGTTTGGGGTTTGAGAAGTTTAGGGTTTAGGGTTTAGGGTTTAGGGTTTAGGGTTTAGGGTTTAGGGTTTAGGGTTTAGGGTTTAGTGTGTTGAGTCGCCCTCACACCTGGCACGGGAGGGAGCCATTTTGCAAGAAGGCCCAAAGACAAAGTCACAAGGCCACGCCTAAAGCACCCGGAGCCCCTAAATTCTGGACCCTAAACTCCGAATCCCGAAGCCCTGAACTCTGAGATTCTGGCCCGGAGTCCCTTCACCCCCCCTTGGTTGCCCCGGGGCTGCCATTTTGCCCTTTTTGGGGTTCTGGGTTACAAGACCTTGTAAAGGTGGCCGACCCTCAAAATTTCAGAGGGGTACCCTTGCTAGCATATAGCTGCTGGGCTACCAACTATTCACATCTTTTTGTTGAGACAAGTTACAAACTTGTTCAGGAACTCCTCGAAACTTGCCCCGGACCTGAACCCTGAATGATATTTCCACTTAGTAATCGAGTGAGTAGGTGAACCTTTGACCTTTGGGGGGTATTCTAATCCCTCTAAATTCCCAAAGGTCAGCCTTTAATTCCCCAAAGGATACTGGACAACTATGTCCATGAGCCCTTAACCAGGCCCTCATGGAGGAGCTGAACCCAGGAGCCACGGAGCGAAAGGCTGCAGCGCAGAAGGCTGTCTGCATGGTCATTCTGGGATCTTGTTTATGTTCTTTTACTTTTTTTGGTTTAGGGTTTATTTATTTATTTATTTTTTTTTGGGGGGGGGGGTAGGGTTCACAGGTTTAGCGGGGTCTAGAGGGTTTCGGCATCTTGGAATGGCAGCAAAACGGTGGGGACTCCCTAGCCCCGCGGCACGGCCTCAAGTGAGTAAGAGAAGCCAGAACCCTGAAAGCCTTTAAACCTCTGAACGGCCACGTAATCCCTAAAACCTGAACCTAAACCCCTCAAGGCCACTTGAATTCCCAAAGAAGCCTCATCTTGGGGGGGGGGGAGGGGGGGGGGGAGATTTTAGGCTTCAAGGTTTCAGGCCCTCAGCGCCCTAAACCCTAAACCTTAACCCCTAAACCCTAAACCCTAAACCCTAAACCTTAAACCCACTTCCTCTTCCCATGCCGACAGGCCAGCCAGAAGGGTACCAGCGAGTTCGAGCAAGTGCCGCAAGCACGAAACCTAAATCCCTAAATCCCTAAATTCCCACACCCTAAACCCTAAACCCTAAGCCCTAAACCCCAAACCCTAAACCCTAAACCCCAAACCCTAAACTCTAAACCCCAATGCATCTTGCAGGCATCTTTCCGGATCTTGTAATTTGTCGGTGCCGATTCTTTGCCTCAGGTGCTCAGCGTGCCAGGCTCTATCTGTAGAACCTATGCGTTCAGGGTTTAGGGCTTAGGGCTACGAGAGCCCCAAGACCCTAAACCCTAAGATTTCCTGATCCGGAAACAACCCTGTCGGGGTTTAGGGGTTAAGGGCTCAGGGTCTAGGACCCCAGCACCCTGTTCTTCCCTCTAATTTAGGAGGGTAGGCTCCCATACGAACCCCCCATCAAGGCAAACAAAAACATCCTAAGGTCCTAAACCCTAAACCCTGAACCCTAAACCCTAAACCCTAAACCCTAAGCCCTAAGCCCTAAACCCTAAACCCTAAGCCCTAAGCCCTAAACCCTAAACCCTAAACCCTAAGCCCCCGAAACCCTGAACCCTAAACCCTAAACCCTTAAACCTTTAAACCTTAAGCCCTAAACCCTAAACCCTAAGCCACCACCCCTCAAGGTGCAGAAGAGCAAGAAGGCCCGCATTGAAGAGTCCAAGAAGTACAACAAGGACCTCCGTGTGACTGGGCTTGCCCCCGAAACCTTACTTGGCCACTTCCAGCGGCCTCTGATTGGGTTCAGGGTTTAGGGTTTAGGGTTTAGGGTTTAGGGTTTAGGGTTTGGGGTTTAGGGTTTAGGGTTTAGGGTTTAGGGTTTAGGGTTCAGGGTTTCGGGCTTAGGGTCCTGATCACCCTATGCAAGTATTCGGCTTGGGGTATCCGCATCGATGCATATGGTACGGCGCCTGGCCTTTGTGTTGGAATGCGCAGAAATTCGAGCGCAAGCCAAAGTTCTCAAGAGAGCCTGGGGTTGAAGGTTCTGTACGTTCTGCTCCCTTGGTGTGTGTGTGTATGCCCTCAGTCATATATTTGTGTACGCACTATACAAGCTACTATATTTTTGTACAGCACATGATACAATAGAGTATACTCTATACATACTGCATGGTGCTGGTCTGAGTTGCGGCAAGAGAAGCCTGCGCTTCCAAGAGCCTTGCGGCGGCTGTGCACCCGCAGCCTGCACCTTGATATGCCTGAACCCTAGACCCTGAACCCTGAACCCTGAACCCTGAACACTAAACCCTGAACCCTGAACCCTAAAACCCTGAAGCCCTAAACCCTCTGAACTCAGAGCCCTAAGCCCAGAACCTTTAAGCCCTGAATTCGTTTTTAGGGTTTATGGCTTTGGTGTTTAGGGAAACCAAGACCCTGAACCCCCACCTCGACCCCTGAACCCCGAAGCCTGCAACACCCTGAGCCGCAGGACAACAAGAAGGGTGATGACACCTTCTACAAGACCCTCATGAAGGCATCCGAAAATTCTAAACCCTAAATCTTAAACCCTAAACCCGATAAACCCTAAACCCTAACCCCAGGCAAGGGCTTGCCTGTTTGATTCGGAGGACCAAGGGTGGAGATGGTACGGCTTTTAGGGGTCAAGGGTGTTGGGGTTTCCGGCAAAGAGCAGGGGTTTGGGGGTTTTGGGTTCAGGGTTTGTAAACCCTAAACCCTAAACCCCAAACCCTAAACCCTAAACCCCAAACCCTAAACCCTAAACCTTAAAACCCTAAACCCCAAACCCTAAACCCTAAACCCAAAACCCTAAACCCTAAACCCTAAACCCCAAACCCTAAACCCTAAACCAGGCCTTTGAGGCCAGGGCTGCGGCCGATGCGGCGAAGAAGGCCCTGCGGGCTGGGTTTAGGGTTTAGGGTTTAGGGTTTAGGGTTTAGGGTTTAGGGTTTAGGGTTTAGGGTTTAGGGTTTAGGGTTTAGGGTTTAGGGTTTAGTGTTTAGAGTTTAGGGTTTAGGGTGTAGGGCGTAGGGTTTAGGGTTTAGGGTTTGGGTTTTTAGGGAAACTCGGTCACTAAACCCCAAACCCTTAGCTCTCGGTTGTTTCCGCTTTTTTGGGTTATGGCAACCGGTCGCTAACCCCATACCCTTAGTTCTCGGTGGCTTCTTCGTTTTCTGTGGGTTCAACGGGCTCATGATTTTGGGTTTTTTTTGTGCATGTCCATGCATCGGTGCGTGGCGCCCCCCCAACCCCCCTTAACCCTAAACCCTATACTCCCTGAACCCTAAAACATGAATCCGAACCCCTCACCTCGAATTCCAAAAAACCTAAGCCTTCGATCCAAGATACAAAAGCCTAAACCTTGAACCCTCAACCTTCAACCCTCAACCCTTAACCCTAAATCCTAAACCCTTAGCCACGAGGCTGCGGCGGCAAAGGAGGCTGCCGGGGAGGACGAGGACGAGGAGTGAGCTTGATTCATTGACTCTCACCATAGGACCGGACGTGAAGAACTCGGCGGAGCAGCAAAGAAACGGACAGTTTTGGAGCTTAGAGGGCTGAGGGTTTTTGCACAGCAGCCAATATATTAGGCAACCTCCAGTATCCTGTCACTCCTGTACAATGATGATGTGAAGCACCCAGAATGCCAACTCTAATTGAATTAGACCCCTACACAAGCTCTGCGGTCTCTGGGCTGCTTTTGAGTGCCCTCTTGGCGGTCCAGTGGTCAGCTCCTGACGCGCGAACTTTCTACTAATTGTTAAGAATACACAAAAATACCAAAAGAACATATTCTTCCTTGTAAGGGTAATATGGGGATTGTTGTCGTTTATTGTTTGGGAGGTCTTAAGCAAACAGTAGCTTTGGTTTGCTTAAGAGCTTTTTACTCTAAACCCTAAACCCCAAACCCTAAACCCAAAATCCTAAACCCAAAACCCTAAACCATAAACCCTAAACCCTAAACCCTAAACCTTTTTTGGGCTGGCAGGCAGCGGCCATGGCCCACCATGAAAATGTGAACGCGGCGAAGGTGAGCAGCCACACCCGCATCCGAAGTGCCGGAGGAAAAAAAGGTTAGGGTTTAGGGTTTAGGGTTTAGGGTTTAGGGTTTAGGGTTTAGGGATTTAGGGTTTAGGGTTTAGGGTTTAGGGTTTAGGGTTTAGGGTTTAGGGTAAGCAGGGCAGTGGGGTGCCTGCAGCTGAGCCGATTCCCGATGCAAAGGTCTTGCAGTACGATGACGTCTGCAAGTTGGACTTCGGTGTTCAAGTAGGCGCGCGGGTTTAGAGTTTAGGGTTTAGGGTTTGGGGTTCACGCTGCTTGCTGCGTGGCAGAGCGTGGGGGGATGCTCGGTATTGCCTGGCAGGCGGTCGAATTGTCGACTGCGCCTTTACCATCGCCTTCAATGAGAGGTGCCGGGGCTGAAAGACGCAGGGTTTAGGATGCGTCAAGTTCTCTCAATCCCCTTTTTTTGGTTTTTCGGGTTTAGGGTTCATAGGGCTTAGGGTTGAGTTTTCCTTCTCCAATCTCGGAGCCTTCAACCTGGAGATAGAAGATGCGTCGGGCCTTTTCCCCGCTCTAAGCAACCTCCCGAGCGCACCTATCTTGCGGAGCTTAAAATGCGAACCTTCAAACCCTTAACACCTCAAGCCCCAAAGTCCCAGACCCTGAACCCAAAACCTGTGAACCGCAGACCCGAACCCCAAACCCTCAAGGCCCTAAACCCTAGACCCTAAACCCTAGACCCTAAACCCACACCCCAAACCCGAAACCCTAAACCCTGAACCTTTAAGCCCTAAACTGCGCCAAACCCTAAACCCCAAAGGCCCAACACCACATGAACCGCCAAGCCGAAGGACTCAACCCTAAACCCTAAACCCTAAACCCTAAACCCTAAACCCTAAACCCTAAACCCTAAACCCTAAACCCTAAACCCTAAACCCTAAACCCGAAACCCGAAACCCTAAACCCTAAACCCTAAACCCTAAACCCTAAACCCTAGAGGCCCGAAAGCCTAAACCCTAAACCTTTAAGCAATAAACCCTAAAGGCCCGAAACCGCATGAATCGCCAAGCCGAAGTGGAGGTACGACCCCATCATCGAGGCGAGCCAGGCCGGTACCAACACCGGAGTCAAGGCGGAACCCGGGTTCTGAGGGGTTCAGGGTCCAGGGTTCAGGGTTGAGGGTTTAGCGTTTAGGGTTTAGGGTTTAGGGTTTAGGGTTTAGGGTTTCGGGTTTAGGGCTTAGGGTGTGGGGTTTAGGGTGGTTAGGCTGTTTAGGAGGTTGGGTCTCAGGGTTTAGGGTTTAGGGTTTGGGGTATTAGAGTCTTGTCTCAGGCAAAGGGGTCAGGGTTGGGGCTTTCATGTAATTTGGGGGGCGTAAGGCCGTGGCTTGGACTTGCGGCCGGGAACCGTAGCTTTCACGATCGCGCCGCCCTACAGCGCAAACCCTGAAGACCCCTCGCCCATCACCCCCCAAACACCCTGCAAAACCAACTACGCCTGAAACCCTCAGCCCTCAACCCTAAAAGCCCCAAAGGCCCTAAACCCTCCTAAACCCCAAACCCTCAACCCTAAACCCTAACCCCTGAAGACCCTGAAGACCCCCTACTCCCCCATATTCGGAACCTAGGGTTTAGGGTTCAGGGTTTAGCGTTTAAGGGTTTAGCATTTAGGGTTTAGGGTTTCGGGGTTAGGATGTTGCGAGAGGAAGCCGGCATCGATGCGCGCTTTCAAGACATCGGGGCCGCCATCCAGGAGACCATCGAGCCGATGCCTCGACATTTCGGGGGGCTGGGGTGTTTGAGGCAGGGGGTTACCCTAAACCCTAAACCCTAAACCCGAAACCCTAAACCCTAAACCCTAAACCCTAAACCCTAAACCCTAAACCCTAAACCCTAAACCCTAAACCTTACACCCTAAGCCCTAGACCCTAAGCACAGGGTTGAGGGGGACCAGGTTTTAAGCGACATGTCTGGGGCAACAGCTAGGCAGGCTGTGGTTTGAGAGTCCTTGGTGGACCCTCAGAAGGCTGCATTACAGAGTGCGTTTCCTTAATGGCGTGCAGCTCAGGTCCTACGAGATTGAGCTCAATGGCAAGGCTGCCTCTACAAGGGGTTTCAGGGCAACCCAGGTTCGAACATTCGAAGAAAAAGGGGGAAGACCAACAACAACAGCGAGACCCAGGTTCAACCCAAGTTCAACTCGAGTTCGAATCTAGATGTCGACGAACTTACCTAAGGTCGATTGAGGGCATTTTAAAGGGTATCTAGGTAGGGTTCGGTTCAGGGTCTATGTAGGGGTTTAGGTGTTCAAGGGTTTTGGGGTTGAGGTCATCCTCAATGTTAGGTTTCGCCTAAACAACCCTAAACCCTAAACCCTAAACCCTGACCCCTGAATCCTAGACCCTAACCCCTAAACCCTAAACCCTAAACCCTAAACCCTAAACCCTAAACCCTAAACCCTAAGCTTTAAACCCTAAACCCTAAACCCTAAACCCTAAACCCTAAACCCTAAACCCTAAACCCTAACCCCTAAACCCTAAACCCTAAACCCTGCAGACCTGGCCCATCAAGCCGGTCCGGAATCTGAACGGCCACTCGATCGGGCCCTATCAGATCCACGGTGGCAAGTCGGCAGCTCTCTTGCAATGGGTTCGGGGGTTTAGGGTTTAGGAGTTTCGGGTTTAGGGGTTTCGGGGATTAAGGCGGAGTTCAGGGGGGTTTAGGAGGGTTTTGGGGGAAGTTTTGGGGGGGGTTTAGGAAGGGGTTTAGGGGGGGTTACGAGGGGGTTTAAGGGGGGGTTAGGGGTTTGGGATGTTGAGGATCTTTGTTTTCGAGTGTTTGGGGGTTGAAGGATTCGGTGTTTGTGGCTTGGGGCTCAATTTCAGCGGCCTGCTGGTTCCTGGCGTTTGCTCGTTTTTAGGGCGTTGAGGGGTTTAGGGTTTATAGGGTGTACGGGGTTACATGGGGTTTAGAGGGGGTATATGCTTTGTGGGGTTTGTAGGGTTTTCCCGCAGACAAACCCCTGGAGTTGAGGTAACATGTTTAGGGCTTGGTTGGGGTGTTAGTTCGGGGCGCGGGGTTGAGTGGCTCAGGTTCTTGTTGGGGTGTTGGTGGTTCGGGGGTTTAGGCTGCTTTGGGGCTACGGGTACGGGCTAAGGGCCGTCATGATTACTAGCACCGCCTTCTTTGGCTTCACCCAAGGTGCCAATCACCAAGAACCAGGAATCCTCCATCATGGAAGAGGGGGAGTTCTACGCCATTGACGCTGCGCTGCCGTCAGCAGGGTTTAGGCGTAGGAACCCTAAACCCTAAACCCTACACCCTAAACCCTAAACCCTAAACCCTAAACCCCAAACCCGAAACCCTAAACCCGAAACCCTAAACCCTAAACCCTAAACCCTAAACCCTAAACCCTAAACCCTAAACCCTAAACCCTGAACCCTGAACCCTGAACCCTGAACCCTGAACCCTGAACCCCCCAAACCCTGAACCCTGAACCCTGAACCCCCAAACCCTGAACCCTGAGCCTTGGAGCCCAGGAGACCTTTGCCTCGAATGGCGTGGAGCCTACAGAGCTTGTTCTACTGTTTTTTCACCGGTTAGGGTTGAGGGTTTAAGGTTTAGGGTTTAGGGTGGTTTAGGGTTCAGTGTTTAGGGTTTGGGGTTTAGGGTTCACCGGGGGAATGAGGGAATGAGGGAATGAGGGAATGAGGGAATCAGGGAATGAGGGAATGAGGGAATCTGTAGTCCGTTACAGGGTGATCTAAGGGGCATAAGGCACGTAATCCCCGTGTTTTTCCAGCCGCGCCGCGCTGCGCCAGAGCCCAGTTGGGGTGGCGCGGGCTTTGTTGCGACCATAGCGTGAAACTATCCTAACTACCCAAACTTCCAGTTGAGAAGAGGCCCCTATCTTATGGCGAAACCCTAAGCCCTAGACCCGAAACCCGAGTCCTAAAGCCCAAGCCCCCTACACCTTGAACCCGAAGCTCGAGTCGAGGCAAAGCGTACGTGGTCGAGGATCTGGAGTGCTCGCACTACATGAAGACCCTGGGTGGCACCTAAACCTCACCCCTTAACCCTGGACCCCAAACCCCTAAACCCCAAAACCCCAAGCCCCCAACCCTAAACACTAAACCCTAAACCCCTAACCCTAAACACTAGACTCTCAACCCCTAACCCCTTATTTGAGTGAGCCCGGATCCCTCGAGCAGGTCGAACGCACCAAAGCCGGCAGGCGAGGGAGCTCCGGAGCCATAACGGCAGGCGATGGAGCTTTCAGTTTCATAAATGACACCATAGGTGTCCGGCCTTTCCAGGGGCACCAGAATGACGTACACCATCCCTTGCAGCGCCAAGGGGCGAAGGCGCACCAACGCCAAACCTCAGACACCGAAGCCTCCTGACACCTGCCAGGGCCTCCAGTTTTCGCTTCCAACACCGAACCTCGACACCAAGCCTCCTCCGAGGGGCTTCGGATCAGCCGAATGCTTGTAGCCTGCGCAACTGCCAACGGGGATTTGATATACATGTGCACGGTCAGAAAGCAAAGGAAACCCCAAACCCACAAAGGTCCAGATGAGGGTGGAGCTGCAAGCGGGGGTGGGGCTCAACAAATACGGGCGAGCGCCTGGGTGCTTTTATCACCAGGATGCCCCCTAAATGAGACACCCACTAAACCCTGAACCCTCAACCCTAAACAGGTGTGGAGGCTTAGGTTTAGGGTTCAGTTCTAGTGTGCCGCAACCTACGGGGACTGCCAATCACCTAGAATTCTTGAAGCTCCAAGTTACATCTTACTGCCCACATTTCTGAAGCCCTGAACCTCAGCCCGCAAAACCTTCCAAACGCTAAACTAAACCCTAAACCAGAAAGCCAACTAAGTAGACTCCCACTACCGGCCCAACACCCCAAACTCCAAGACTTTCAGGGACCCACTGAGCCGTCGACCAAACCGTAAACCGGAACTTTAAGCCCTTTCCGTCCCCAAATCGAAGCACCAAGTCCTAAGACCCAAAGCCCAAATTCCTTCGATTGGATGATAATGTGAAAAGCAAAACCCCATAAGCCTAACACCCTAAACTCGTACATATAAGTCCTTTTCAGGATCTTCGATGCGCAGCATGTGCCTCTGCGGGTCAAGAGCTCCAAGGCATTTAGCTCAGAGGCGTTTTGTTAAAGCACAAAGCCACAAACCCTACACCCTAAACCCGAAACCCTACACACGCTCTGTGGGTTTAGGGTTTGCCGGGCTTCGGCTAGCCAGCTTAATGTGCCGGACTTCTACGGGTGTTGGTTTTGATGAGGGTGTTGAGGAGCGCGCCTTATGCCAAAACCTTCCCTTAAACATCCCGAAGCCCCGATGCATCCCTAGGCTTTGGAGAGAGAATGCGCAAGACGGGGCCCGTGCTCTAAGTTTCAATCAATCGGCTTAGGCTGTAGGGTTTGCCCAGCAGGGCTCTCCATGCATGAATGCACGCATATGTGCGCGGACTCCACATCGCACGTACATGTTTTCATGCAGTACCTTCAGAGCATGTGAAACATACAGAGCCTGCAAGACATGCATACAGTGCAGTGGCATGCAAGACAAGATACGACATGACAAGACGGTACAGCACCAAACATGCAGCACGACTCGGTCGCCCAGGCCCTGCTCCACGCGATCGAGCAAAATTTTGGAACCTTAGCGTGCGCCACGCATGCTTTGCCACAGGTTTGTGCTTCGTGCAGGTGTTGTCAATTGTCGCCGGCTAGCTTGTTATGGGTTGCGATCAAACGTCGTATAAGCTACCTCCTCTACATCCCGAGGAGCCGGTTGTACAGTGTTTAAGAGAGAGGGCATAGCATGTCGGAGCAATGCAAGGTGCACAGAGACCACCAGGTGTTGGTGTTAGAGCTAATGGGATGATGCAGGGTTAGATGTCACCAGCTTATAGTGTGCAGGGAAGCAGATGGGTTGTTGTTCCGGTGCCTTCAGGTTCATTTCGGCAACAGCGAGACCCGAGGGCGTAAACCCAAAACCCGGATGTCCGCAGGCCCACCTGGGTCGCGTGCCCGCCCTGTGCAGTCACGGGTAACAGCACCCACGTTAGCAAACCGGTGGCTGGATTCACAAGGCACGACGCTACTCCAAGGCAAGCCTGAACCCAAAGCCAATCCCAGATCCCAAGCCCTAGACCCTCAGCCAACGTCCGGCTACCAACATATGAGAGCGTGAAAAATTTGATCCCCAAGTCCCAACCCCAAGCCCCAAACCCCAAAACCCGAAACCCCCAAACAAACCAAAGAAGCAGGGCGACACCAACCAAACACTCCTTGCAGATTCTGCCGGCGCTGGTTGGATGACCTTGGCCAGACTCGACATCTAATGGCAGGGCCCTAAGAGTGGGTTGAGGGCTTTCAGGATTCTAGGGTTTTTGTCGGTCTTTTGGGTTTTTAGAGGTTTCGCTGTTTTGGCCTTATGGGTTTTAGGAATCTAGGGCTTTGTCGGATTTAAATTGGCGGTTGTGAGCGTGTGCATGAGATGCGGAAGGTAAACTGTACTAGTTTCTGATGGGTTTCCGTGAGAACGAAGTGAGCACGTCGGTAACTCCCTTCATCAACTGATTCGCAAGCTTGAGCACGAAATCAGTGTAGTGTTTTTTGCGCACGACGTCTGTAAGGTTAGTTTAGTCTTGAAGGAAGCCAAATTCTTTGACAGGCAAGTTCCGTCCAGCATGGACGGTGTAAGGACTTCCTCGCTGTCACATTGCCTTCGTCTCTCAGAATAGCGCTAAACCCATGGACCCCTGCACCCTGAAGCCTGAACCCTAAGTTAAGCCCTGAACCCTAGACCCTAAACCCGAAACCCTAAACCCAAAACCCTAAGCCCTAAACCCTAAACCCTAAACCCTGAGGCCCTCAAGAACCTGGTGGACAACGACATCGTCCAGCCCTATCCGCCCCTTTGCGATGCCAAGGGCTCGTGACCCCGCAAGGTTTAGGGTTTAGGGTTTAGGGTTTAGGGCTTCGGGCTTGGGGGGTGTTTAGGGTGTTCAGGGTGTTCACGGTGTTGAGGGCACTTAGGGTTTAGGGTTCTCTCTAAGTAGGTTCCTGGGATTCGGAACAGGTTTTGGGGTTCTCTTAATTAGGGTTTAGAGTTTAGGGTTTTGGATTTGGGGCTCACAGAGGCTTAGGATACTGATTGATTTGATTTTTTGTTGGGGGGGGGGAACCCCAAACCCTAAACCGGAAACCCCAAACCCCAAACCCCAAACCCTAAACCCGGAGTTCAGGGATTGGGGTTGAGGGGTGTTTAGGATAGGGCCTTGCGTGGTGTCTCGGTGCTGAGGTTGGGTTAGGATTGAGGGGAGGCTTTCGGGGGGTTTCAGGTCTTTGGGGGTTTAGGGTTGAGGGTTGAGGGTTTAGGTGTTCAGGGGTTGGGATGTTTCCCCTTATGCTAAGACTGGCTAGTACAACGGGGAACATCCCGATTCACGGGTTTGAGATAGTGCTCTGCGTGTTTTTTTTGGCACGGGGTTTAGCGGGTTAGGGTTTTTCATGTGCTCCGTGTTCAGGGCTTTAGGGGAATGGGACCCTGACCCTTCCAACCGAAGGTTTGTGTACGGACTGCAAGGTTGAAGTCTTAGTATTTTTTTTTTTTTTTTTTGGGGGGGGGGGGGGGGTTTTGGGTCTAACCCCTGAGCCCAAAATCCTTGAGCCCAAACCCAAAACCCTAAATTGCAAAACACAAAACCGCAAAACCAGAACACTAAGCGTCCAAGTTCCTCCACCAGGGCCCATACTAACGGCTGTTAACACCAAATAAAACGGGTGGAGGGTCTGGGCAGCACCGCAAGGTATCGGCCTTTTTAAAGGGTCCCCTTTCCTTGAACTCCTAAACCCTGAACGGGAAACCCTATACCCTAAACCCTGAAACTCTGAAATCATGAAAACTTCAATCCCAAAGGCTCTGAAGATCCTAGAGCCCACCTCATCTGGTAACGGCATTTGTGGCCCGGTTGACTGCAGGTCCGTTTTGGGTTTCACATTGGGATGTTCCCCCTTTTACTAGCAGTCCTTAGTAGGGATTAAAGGAAGCCCAAAGGCGCATCACTGCGACTCTGTTCTGCAGCACACTGTCTGCCAAGCCACGGCTAGCGTCACTGCCTGCGTTAACCCTCAGCCGCCAGGTACGTCACGCAAATGGAGCACACCATTCTGCTCCGGCCAACGTGCAAGGAGATCGTCTCGCGAGGCGACGACTTCTGAGCTGAGGAGCGCCCGCACAGCCTTAGCGCTCGCTTCCTGTGCGTTCCGCACGGACGCGCACCACAGACCATGATAGACATTATCCCCGACTGGGAGGTTCATGGGTACTTAGAACCCCCAGTATTACAAGTCTACTTAGAACTTCTTAGAACCTACTTGGAGGACTCAGGGGCTAATAAGTACAGGTGCCCTGAACTTAGAACCCCCAGTATTATAAGTCTACTTGGAACCTACTTAGAGGACTCGGGGGGCTTATAAGGTGCAGTGACAAGTGGGTGTTATACGTACCTTGAACCTCCAAGTCGCCAAGCTCAAGGCTTACATCCACCTGGCGGTGCGCAAGGGTTTAGGGTTTAGGGTTTAGGGTTTAGGGTTTAGGTTTTAGGGTTTAGGGTTTAGGGTTTAGGGTTTAGGGTTTAGGGTTTAGGGTTTAGGGTGGCGCCTCCCAGACCTAGGAGCCCCAGTGGTGCTGGAAATACCTAAACCTTGAAACCCTAAGAGCCCTAACAACCGCATAAGCCACATAAGCCCTATTGACCCTAACAACCCTACAAACCCTTTGAACCCTAGAAACCCTGTAAAACCTATGAACCCTATAAACCCTACAAGCCCGAAATCTGTCTCTTGATTCCTAGATAACTGGGGAACCTAGAGACTTGTAAATACCGCCCCCGACTCGCGGGCCGCGCTAAGCCGCCGCCTTTGCGTACAAGGAGATCTTCTCGCATGGAGCCTGCTCGACTTTTCTCAGAGGCGGTGCGACGCGATTAAAAGGCAGCCAGAGCCAGCCCGCAATCTGGCAACCCCTAAACCCTAAACCCTAAACCCTAAACCCTAAACCCTAAACCCTAAACCCTAAACCCTAAACCCTAAACCCTAAACCCTAAACCCTAAACCCTAAACCCTAAACCCTAAACCCTAAGCCCCGAACCCCAGACCCCAATTCAGCCCAGAAACGCCGAGACCCGACAAGCCACGCCGGCGCTGAGGGAACGCCGGGAACGCCCCAACGCCCCAAAACCCAGATGTCGGGTTCAGGGTTTAGAGTTTAGGGTTTGGGGTTTAGGGTTTAGGGTTGGGCGTAGGCATTCAGGGTTCAGAGTTTTAGGGTTACAGGTTTTATGGCTTCAGGGTGTAGTGTTTCAGGGTTGCAGCGTTGCAGAGTTCAACGGGGTTAACCCTTAAGTCCTAAACCCTGAGCCCTACCTGGGACCCTATTTACCTGCAGTTTGAAAGGGGGTTGTGCTTACAAAATAGGGGGCACTTACTGCGAATCTGTAGGTAAATAGGGTCCAGGCATACCCCGAAAGCGCTCAGTCTCAGCCCGCCGTCGGCTCAAGAGTACTTCCGGCAGAGACTGTGTTAGATTTCTTAGGGGTGTGAGTAAGGTCCCATCCTAGTCACAACTTAGGAGCTTCGCACCCATGGAGCTTTTGGGGTTTAGGGTAGTTCCTGATCTTGTCTGGTGCTTTTGCTTGCTTTATCATTGACGTGATGCCTCGCTCCAGGACCTCACCCGAAACCCTAAACCCTAAACCTTCAACCCTGAACTCTAAAGCCTAAACCCTGAACCCTAAACCCTAAACCCTAAACCCTCAACCCTAAACCCTAAACCCTAAACCCTAAACCCTAACCCTAAATCCTAAACCCTAAACCCTAAACCCTAAACCCTAAACCCTAAACCCTAAACCCTAAACCCTAAACCCTTGAAGCCTGACCCTAGATCACAAGCCTGTAGACCTGAAAAGCCCGAGGCCACTGGCGTCATAGGCTAGGCAGATGTGGCCTACCTCTCAGGGTATATCGTTACATGGTCCCTCAATACGGCCCCTGACCTTCTTCTCAGGGTTCTTTTGTATGGGCCCTTGAGTTTTTACGGGGAAAGGGGTCTAGGTTTAAGGGCCCATATTAAGGGACCACGTAACTACCCTAAGATCAGCTTCTTCGATGGCCGCTCCTCCTCCCAAACCCTAAGCCGCAGAAACCCTGAGCTCCAAATCTAGAGGCAAGCCTAGTCGTGAAGAGCGCCCAGATCCTCAAAGTAGCCATGCTCCCCTCTTCCCTGAGATTCTTCGGGTGTTAGACCTAAACCCTAAACCCTAAACCCTAAACCCTAAACCCTAAACCCTAAACCCTAAACCCTAAACCATAAACCATAAACCCTAAACCCTAAACCCTAAACCCTAAACCCTAAACCCTAAACCCTAAACCCTAAACCCTAAACCCTAAACCCTAAACCCTAAACACTAGACCCTAAACCCTAAACCCTAAACCCTAAACCCTAAACCCTAAACCCTAAACCCTAAACCCTAAACCCTAAACCCTAGACCCTAAACCCTAAACCCTAAACCCCATACATGAGCGGAGTGTTTTGGGGGGCTGGGCAGAAACCCGTGCAGGACGTCTCGGAAGTGCTGCCGCGCAGCGGCCGTTGCGACGGCACACCCCTGAGCTAGCAATGCATCCTGGGGTTTAGGGTTTAGGGTTTGGGGTTTAGGGTTTAGGGTTTAGGGTTGTTTAGGATGGCTTGATGGTAGTCGGTTTTGAGTTCGAAGTTGAGGGTTTTTAGGGGTATTAAAGGTTTAGGGTTTGCCCTACACCACTGAATTCCTTCGGCGCCAACCCCACTGAAGTCCTCAACAAATCTCAAACCCTAAGCAGCCCCAAAACGCCCCCCAAGCCCCTAAAATGTTGGGGGGGGGGGGGTCGGAACAATTACAAATAGCATTCCCTTATGGCCCCCCTACATATTTAACTCTAACATAACCCTATTCCAGTTTTTACGGCCCCTATATTAAGCAAAGTTCGACCCAACCCACCTCCTGCACCAGCCCCAAGCAACCCCGAAGGCCCCAGAAGCCTTCAAAGCCCTTAGAGCCCCGCCCAAACCCCCCAAAAAACAACGAAAACCATGAAACCCCAAAACCTCTAAACCCTATAACCCTGTTCTTCTATAATCCTCACTCCTGAACCCCTAGAACTGCCTAGAACCCTAACCCTAGCACCTTGTGACCGTATAACCCTATAACCCTATACCTATAACCCTATAACCCTATAACCCTATAACCCTAGAACCCTATAACCCTATAACCCTATAACCCCTGTGACCCTATGAACCTGTAACCCTGGCACCCTATAACCCTAAATCCTGAACCCTACTTGTCACCCCAAACCCTAAACCCTAAACCCTACACCCTAAACCCTAAACCCTACACCCTACACCCTAAACCAAAAACCCTAAACCCTAAACCCTAAACCCTAAACCCCAAACCCTAAACCCTGAACCTAAACCCCCAGCCGAGGCGGGCGCTTTAGCCCTGGCTCCGGCCCGGGGCCTCGCTTTCGTGCTGACTCCCAAAAGGTGTTTAGGGTTTTTGGGGTTTTGGGGTTTGAGGGTGTAGGGTTTAGGGTCATAGGGTTGAGGTTTGAAGGCTCAAGTACATGTTCAGGGTCTAGGCTTCAGATTCAGGGACAGGGCTGGAGGGGTTGCTGGCATCCCTACCCTAAGGCTTCAAAGCCCTAAACCCTAAACAGCCCTTGAACCCCAAACCCTGAACCCCGAACCTTTCAGGCCTTGAAGCCGTACAAACCCTAAACCCTAACGCTGAACCCTACTAAGCCCTACCAAACTCTGTAAAAGTGCGAAACCCATAGAACCCTAAACCCTAAACCCCCTATGCAAACCTACAAAGCGCCATATAGCCACAAAACCCTAGAAAGCCTAAACTCTAACCCAAAACCCTGTACAGCCTATGAAGCACTTCAAAAGCCTACAGAACCCCCAAACCCATAAACCCCTACGCCTTTTGCCCAAACCCCTCAAACCCCAAAATGCACTAAACCAAATCCGAATAACGCTCTAGAAGATCAAAACCCATAAGCCCCATAAACCCCGAAAACCTATAAAGAACTATACACCCTAAGCCCTGAACCCTAAACCCTAACCTGAACCCTTAACCTTAACAGTCGATTTCTTTTTTTTTTTTTTTTTGCGGCGTCCAGGGCTTCATCTCCTCCGGCATCTCTCAACGCAGCGGCCTCGGCGTTTTTGGTTTTAGGGTTTAGGATTTAGGGTTCAGGGTTTAGGGTTTAGGGTTTAGGGTTTAGGGTTCAGGGGTTCAGGGTTCAGGGTTCAGGGTTTAGGGTCGCAGCTTCAGGGCCCTCGCTCCCAGCGCTGATCCGTTTGCGGCCTCGATCTCATGGGGTGTCGAATTTCAGGAAGTGCTCTTCCGCTTCAGAGTTCAGGGTTCGGGGTTCAGGGTTCAGGGTTTAGGGTTTAGGGTTTAGGGTTCAGGGTTCAGGGTTCAGGGATATGATTGGGGGGGCAAGGTTCAAGAAATTGAGGCAGTTCAGGGTCCTTGAGGTTGTTTTCGAGTGTGACACGCATCTGTTTGATGAGCCCGTGCACACAGATAGGCACCGGGGTTTCTTTCTCGGGCGTCTGTTGTATGGCAGTTGAAACTCGATGACTTCCAGTAGAGTGAGCAAGACCTACAAACGAGAGAGCTGTTTCGACGAAGTGCCATACACCCCTAAACCCTAAACCCCAAAAACCCTTTAAACGCAACAGGCCCAAACCCCAAGAGCTACTGGGGCCCCTCAACCCCTCAACCCCGACCCCCTGAACCCCCTAAACACAAAGAACCCTTCAAACGCAACAGGCCCAAACCCCCAAGAGAGGTACTGGGGCCAGCTCGGAGCAGCCAGCGCAGAGGCATCCCGGCCATGTCTCGCAGAAAGGGGCGTCTGGGGAACTCGGAGACCGAGCCCACATTCGTTCAAGCGGCTCAGGGGTTTAGGGGTTCGGGTATAGGGTTTCGGGTTTGGGGTTTAGGGTTCAGGAGTATAGGGTTTAGGAGTACGGTTGGTAAAGGGCACATTCATCACTGGCCCTTGTTCGTTACTGAAGCTGTTAAGATGTCCCATGCAGACAGCCCTGAGAACTACTATTGCTTAAGAACCCCCCCAAGAAAACTCATAATAGTAATCCCAATACTGCCCTTATAAGTAAACTTATATATATATATATATGTGTATGCATTTTTTTGGGAGGGGGGGTCTTAAGCAAATAGTAAAGAATCACTGAAGCCGAGCACCAGAGCCCGAGCTTCGTGAGGAGAGCCGCGGTGAAGGCAGCGCAGCCGGGTGAGGGTGCCGGGCGAGGCGCGAGGGAAGCTTTGCACCTCAGGGGTTCAAAACCCTAAACCCCAAAACCTCCCTAAACCCTAAACCCTAAACCCTAAACCCTAAACCCTAAACCCTTAGCCCTAAACCCTAAATTTCTAAACCCGAAACCCGAAAGCTTAGACCCCAAAACCTTCCCAAGTACCCTGTTTGTATGGGTTGGGAGTTTGGGGGGCATCTTACAGGGCACTTGGGACTCTAGGCTGGGTCTTGGGCTTTAGGCTTGACTCGGGGGTGCGTACTCGAGGTTGAGGCACCCTAAACTCTATTTTTTCTAAACCCTAAACCCTAAACCCTAAACCCTAAACCCTAAACCCTAAACCCTAAACCCTAAACCCTAAACCCCAAACCCTAAACCCAAAACCCTGAACCCTGAACCCTGAACCCTGAGCCCGTACTCTCCAGGCTTGGGCCTGTCGGCCGCTGGCCTCTCTACGGCTTTGGCGGCTGGAGCAAGGTGCCGGGGGAGGGAGGTTTAGGGTTTAGGGTTGAGGGTTGAGGGTTTAGGGTTTAGAGGGTTTAGGGGTTTTGGGGTTTAGGGCGTTTAGGCGTTTAGGGGTTTAGGGGTTTAGGGGTTTAGGGGTTTAGGGCGTTTAGGGGTTTAGGGGCTAGGATATCGGGCTTAGGGTTGAGGGAGCGGGATTCAGGGTTTAGGGTTCGTAAGGTTTACAAGGTTTACAAGGTTGATCAGGTTTACAAAGGCTTATAGGGCTCTCCGGGTTCAGGGTGTAGCGTATAGGGTTGAGGCGGTGTTTTGGGGGCTTCAGGGTGTTTTAGGGGTTTCGTCGTACTATGGCGTGGGGTTCAAAGTTCAGGCGGCTTGAGGGGCTAAGGGGCTGGGTTTTCATTGGGAAAAAGCACTCCGGGCCCACAGCCCAAAACCGCAGACCCCCCCCCCCTCCCCAAAAAAAACATTTGGGTGTTATAGTCCCTGAAAATTTGAGGCTGGCAACCCTATTGCCCCAAACCCCTGAAGCCCTAAAAGCCCTGAAGCCCCGCATGCCCTGGAACCCCTAAAGCCCTGGAGCCCCTAAAGGCCCTAAACCCAAAACCCTGTTTCGTGTTAGGGTTTGGGGTTTAGGGTTTAGGGTCTATAGGGTCTATAGGGTCTGTCGGGTCTATAGGGTCTATAGGGTCTATAGGGTCTATAGGGTCTATAGGGTTTAGGGTTTAGGGTTTAGGGTTTAATTATATTTAGGCTTTTCGGGTTTAGGGTTTAGGGTTGAGGGGGTATATGCTCCCTGGGTCCTTGTCCAGCCTGCGCAACCGCCGGCGGACGCGCGCGCAGCGCCAGGCCGAGAGTGGGGGCCTCAGGGGCCCCTCAAGGGGGCCCTAAGCCCTGAACCTTTTTACCGGTTTTAGGGTTTGGGGTTTCGGGTTCAGCGGTAATTAAGGGTTTAGGGTTTAGGGTTTAGGGTTTTGGTTTAGCGTTTCGTTCGTGTTTAGAGGGTTTAGGGTTCCTATTCTTCTGTTATAACATGATATGGGGGTTTCCGGAAATTGGGGTACCTTATTGGGGTCCTTATTATAAGGGACCCCGACTATTCGGGCGACCCTACGTCCCCAACCTGCCGAAAAATTTCTTTCCTCCCAGGCCCTGTGGACAAAGCGCGCCAACTTGGCGAAGACCTGCGCGGCTTGGTGGACAAAGCGCCGCCTGGCTGCTGCTGGAAGGTTTTCTCGGTAGGCCCTTGGCACATTTTGCATTTTCTCTTATTTGGGCGTAGGAAGACCATTGTTAAGGACTATTGTTTAGGAATATAGTTCAGAGGGCTTTAGCGGCCATCCTGGTTTTCTTCTCCACTTTTGCTGTGGGCGAGTGTTTATAGTCCCCTGAACCCGTAGAAACTATAGAGCACCCAAGCGAATGTAACTGTATAATCCTTTTTCTCCAATGCTTCCAATAAAGAGAGGCCTCTATAGTAGGATTCATAGCTTGAGGATGTTGGATAGTTGCATGAGGATGGGCCCCGAACCCCAAACCCTTATTCTGGGTTCGAGGAGGCTGGCGTTTTGGGCCGGGCCTTCAAGCTAATCACACCCCAAACCCTAAACCCGAACCCCAGACCCTAACCCCCAAACCCTAAACTCCCAAACTCCCCAAGCCCCAAATCCTTGAGCTCATGACTAAGCCCGAAGCCCTCACCCCTCAAGCCCTCAACCCTATACCCTAAACTCTAAACCCGAAACCCTAAACCTAGCGCTCAGGAAGCAGGTTGCCCAGGACGTCGCCGAGGCGCGGGGGCGCAGTGACCAGGAAGGTTTTAGGGGTTTTAGGGTTTAGGGGTTTAGGGCCCTAAACCGTTTAGGGTTACGGGTGTAGGGTTTAGTGGTTGTGGGGGTGTAGGGTGTTAGGGGTTTGGGGTTGAAGAAGTAGGACGGCTACCGTTAGAAGCAGGTTTCAAGCACCCCTGGACCTCCAACTATGGGGCCTTAGCATGACCATGAACCCCGAAACCCTGATATCCTGACACCTACACCTTAAACCCGGAACTTCAAAACCCTGAACCACTAACTGAATCTTACACCCGAAAGCTCTTTGAAGCCTCCCCAACTTCATAGTCTCCTTTGCTACCCCCTCCCCCTAAACTGCCAGGCCCAAATAACGCTCAACTCAGGGTTACTTAGGCCGTCTTTTGAGTGGGGGGTGGTTACGTGGGGTTTAGGGCTTAGGGTTTAGGGCTCAGGGTATAGCATACCGAAGCCCTAAACTGACCCAAAAGCCCTGACGCCCGAAACGACAGGCCCCGGGGAATGCCGCGCGTGCTGCGAATGACACGGCGGAGCTCTGAGTCTGACTACCAGCCTGCGCAAGCTCGCTGAACCCCCCAAAACAACCCCTAAAAACCCGAAACCCGAAACCCTAAACCCTAAACCCTAAACCCTAAACCCTAAACCCTAAACCCTAAACCCTAAACCCTAAACCCTAAACCCTGTACCCTGTATGAACCCTGTATGAACCCTGTATGAACCCTGTATGAACCCTGTATGAACCCTGTATGAACCCTATAAAGCCTATAAATCCTAAATCCTAAAGTCGTAGCAGCACAAGGGCTCCACAATATCATGAAACCCTGGACCCTAGACCCCAAACCCTCAAAGCCAAACCTGCAAACCCTGAAGTCCTACAACCCACCAAAGCCGAAAGCCCTAATACCATAAACCATTTTGTGTGATGAATATGATTGTTTCCCCCCCCCCCCCCCTCGAACCCCCTAAACCACCTAACCCCCTAAACCCCCTAAACCCTAAGCCCCTTACCCTTAGGCTTAGAGCTTCAAGGTTTCGAGCGTTTGAGGTCAAGCCTCACACGCTCAAGCCTTGTCTGAGATCAAGCCTCACACGCTCAAGCCCGACAGGTTGATGCCTTAAACCCCAAATCCCCACCCCCCACCCCCCCCTCGCACCCGCGTCTCGCCTGCCCCCTAGTCCCCCACGTAGTAGCAGTAGCAGTAGCAGTAGTCGTGGTCGTCATCGTCGTACCCACAACCGGCCCTAATGAGTCCTTGATAACCGTTTTTTTGCCCTGAAAGGGCCCTACTAATAAACCCTAAACCCTAAACCCCAAACCCTGAACCCTGAACCCTGAACCCTACACCCTTAGCCCTAAACCTTAAACCCAAAACCCAAAACCCAAAACCCAAAACCCTAAACCCCAAACCCCAAACCCTAAGCCCTAAACCCTAAACCCTAAACCCTAACCCTAGACCCTCAGCCCTTCAAGCCCGAAGAGCCAAGGCCAGATCGCTGGGCGAGGGTGCGGCCAACCTCCGAGATGGCGCCAGTCGCATCAAAGATAACCTGGGCAACCTGCAGGCCGAGGGTTAGCTTTTGGGGTCTTATTTCCGGGTGTAGGGTTCAGGGCTAGGGTTTAGGATTTAGGGTTTTGGGTTTAGGGTTTAGGGCTAGGGGCTAGGGGCTTCAAGCGTTAGTTGTTCACTCTTGTGAGTTGAGGCTCTGAAACTTCAGGTGTTTTTTTGTGGCCGGTTTGGGTGGGTCTCCCGCATATTGGTCGGATGAGGCCTGGGCAGTGAAAGCCGGACATCAGCAGCATTCGCCCATCTTACTGACATTTTCGCCTGGATGTGTCGAAGCTGACTACGTGGCCCAAAACGAGAGCGTTGGATCGAAGCAACGTCGTCTTTGCTGCTCCGGAAGAGAAGCGAGGAAACATAGCATCTCTTCAACAAGCTCTTGGGTTTGTAGAAAGCTTCAGCAACACTACCTTGAGAAGGTGCAGCGCAATTCTGGAGCTGTTGGCAGTGGCAAAAAATTGCAAGATTTCGGAGCGCGAGAATTGCAGGCTGCGGTCGGGGAGCAAGCGGGTACAGGGCCTAGGGTGGAAGAGGTAGGAGGGGAACCATCTTTTTGGTGCGGGGTTGGGAGAGGGGGATCGGCCAGTGGCGGAGAAATAGCCAGCTTAGAGTCTTATAGGCCGTATCCTGAAGGCAATGCCCGTGTGAGGACATATTCCAGCATGCATGACGAGCACGACGAGTACAAGGTATGCATGCCAAAGCCTGCACCCCTCCCTGCCGCAGGCCATTCCGCAGGAACTCGGCGAGAAGTTCCAACGCCCTTTCAAGGAGGCCCAAGGGGTTCGTGTACGGCAGCAAGATTCTGGGACTCATTTTGTGTCGGGCGGCCGATAGGCCGAAAGGGTTTAGGGTTTAGGGGCCCATGTATGTAGGTCAGTGTAGGTATGATGGCCAAAGTGCTCGGAGGGTTTACGATTAGAGCGCTTCAGGCGTTTGGGTTTGAGGATTAGGTTTGGGTTCGTAGGGTTTGGGTTTATAGGGTGAGAAGGGTTTGTAGAGTTTCCTGGGCATTTTGGGTAGTTTACATTACATTACAAGTATACCGCCTGCATTCTGTATTGGGTCCAGACCTTTTTCGCAAGTGACATTGCTAGAATGGTTGAGCTCTTAAACCCCAAGCATGGGCCAAACCCGAAGCACGGGCGAGCCAGGCAAAGCTCAAAACCCTTAGCCTGGAAAGGCTCACAAAAAAAGCTACAGCTAACAAACAAGGGTTTAGGGTTTAGGGTTTAGGGTTTAGGGTTTAGGGTTTAGGGTTTAGGGTCCCCCCCTCCCCCCCAACTCTTAGCCGCCGAAACCCGAACAACGCCTCTTTCAGCCCTGGAAAGGACCGAAGCCTTAAACCCTGACCCTTAGCCTTAGCATAAAACCCTAAACCCTAAACCCTAAACCCTAAACCCTAAACCCTAAACCCTAAACCCTAAACCCTAAACCCTAAACCCTTAGCCCTAAACCCTTAACCCTAAACCCTTAACCCTTGAACCCTGCAACCTGCAGGTCGGCAGCAAGGTGCAGGAAACGGCGTGGGCCTTGGGAGAGGGTGGAGCAATCCCTTGCCGTGGCAACAGAGGCTCAGTTTACAGGTCAAGGGAGGGACTTCTGCCCTGTACTCTAACTAGGGTTGAGGGTTTAGGGGTTTAGGGTTTAGGGTTTAGGGTTTAGCTCCTAGGCCTAATCCCACCCCACCCCTAAGCCCCGAACCCAAAGCACGCCAACAGCGTGAACTTCTTTGTGCCCGGGCACCTTTACAAAATGAGGCCCAGATAACCCTGAGCTCAGCGAGAGTTGGGAATGGGCTCATCACTAATCTTTTATCAAACCTACACCCAAGACCCTAAACCCTAAACCCTAAACCCTAAGGCCTGAGAACCGGGAGTCAAGAGTCCCCAACCCGCTAAGGGCACTAAGCTGGCCAGCCTGCGCGCGCCCGAGGTCGGAGGGCCAGCTTGTCGGGTTCAGGATGCAACTTGTTGGGGTTGCTGGGTTCAGGGTTTAGGGTTTCAGGTTTAGGCGGTTTGGGGTTTAGGGTTTCGGGTTTCGGGTTTCGGGTTTAGGCGGTTTAGGGTTTAGGGTTTAGGGTTTACGGTTTAGGGTTCAGGGTTACGGTAGCTGGGTAGCTTTGTAAACGGACCCCAAGATGTCCGTTCGGGAGGTTCCCAAGCCAGATGCGCCAAAGATCCCGAATGTGATCGAAAACGTGCCTCGGCAGAGGTGGAGGGTTTAGGGTTTAGAGTTTAGGGTTTAGGGTTTAGGGATTCGGGAATCAGGGATTAAGCATTGGGGAGTTTTCGGGTTCAGCGGCCTTTGGTGGGTTTAGGGTGCAGCTTCAGCTGGCGTCCCCCAAGTGCCTGCAACCGGAAGCCCTAAATCTTGAAACCCACTCTCTCCGGGCGGGGGCTGCTGTAGCAGGTACCACATCTCCCGTGTCCCTCGAGCCTAAACCCTAGAAATATGAGCACCTTGCCCCAAATACCCTAAACCCTGAAGCCCAAACAGCCGCGATGCTCCTGAAACGGATGCCCCCCTTTAGTCCCCCTCGGTTCGGGGCTGAGGTTTTTTTCGGGTATGAGGGCTATTCGGGATGTCGGAGCTTTATGGGTTTTTGGGGGTTTGGGGGTTTTGGGGGGTTTTGGGGTTTTGGGGGTTTTTGGGGGGGTTTTGGGGGGTTTTGGGGGGGTTTTGGGGGTTTTGGGGGCTTTGAGGCGTTTAGGGATGCAGGGTTTGAAAGGTGTAGCGCTTTCCGGCACACACGGCGGCCTAGCCCCGCCACGCCCCCCAGGTCTCGAAGATTCCCTCGACCTTGAAGAACCGCATCGAGACCACGGTGGAAGGTGCGGCTTTGTGTGTAAGTGTAGGGTTTAGGGTTGAGGGAGCAGGTTTAGGGTTTAGGGTTAGACCCTGCACGGCAAAAACTCACACCCCGAGCCCTGAACTCCAATCCCCAAACCCCAAAGCCCCTAAACCGTATAATAAATCCTAAATACCCTAAACCTCTGAAACATAACCTTCCAGGAGTGGAGAAGACGGTCACCAACATCGTCGAGCTGCCGGACAGGATCAGCAAAGGCTCCTGGAATTCCACTGCCTTGGGGCCGACTTTAATTTAAAGCAAGGCTCAGCATCCTAAAATCCCTAAACCCCTAAACCCCTAAACCCCTAAACCCCTAAACCCCTAAACCCCTAAACCCCTAAACCCCTAAACCCCTAAACCCCTCAACCCCTAAACCCTTAACCCCTAAACCCCTTAACCCCTTAACCCCTAAACCCCGAAACCCCGAAACCCTAAAGCCTAAACCAGAACCGGCTTAGGCTGTAAGTTTATTTCAGGGATAAGGCCCAACGAAGTGTGCGATATCATAATATGGCCAGTTCTTCAGGCTACGTCCCCTCTGTTGGGTATCAAGGGAAGGGGAACACCCAAAACAGGAATTCTCCTTGGGTGCAGGGTTTATTGGGTATATGATTTAGTGTTTAGGGTTTCGGGTTTGAGGTTTAGGGTTCAGGGCTAGGGGTTCAGGGTTCAGGGTTGGGTTCAGGGTCCAGGGTGCAGGGTTCAGGGTTCAGGGTTCAGGGTTTAGGGTTTAGGGTTTAGGGTTTCGTGTTCAGTGTTTAAGGTGTAGGGTCTCAGTTTCAAACGGGAAGCTGCGCGAAGGTGTGAGCAATGCAAGCGAGGCCGTGGTCGGTTGCCCCAGAGCTCTGGCTTTGCCGGGGGTTGCCAGGCATCTTGCCCCTGGTTTGGGAAATGCCCTCGCGGGGAATTAGAGAATTTCTTTTAAGGGTCGTGTAGGGGATACAAGGGTACCTAAAGTACCTAATTTCATCTAAACCTCGAATTCCCAACTAAGAACTAGGAAGACATCCGCTAGCCTCGATGTCGATCCCAGCTGCAGGATGTGGAGAAGTTATGTCTCCCAACCGCTATCGGGAAACTCGTCTCCTCATATCTAGGTCGCCAAGACATATGAAGCAAGGTTTATATTTCTGTTTTTGGTGAGTGTATATAAGGTTCCTTTTTAATATTGGTGAGTGTATATATGGGGTGTCCTTTTGGGGGTACAAGAAATATAAACCCTGCTTCATATACATCGTGATAGTGACGGCCGGGTGCCGCAGCCAGGTCAACACAGCAGAGACCATCGCCGGCGTTCCAGAGAAAGTCAAGGCCACCTCTCGGCTTTCCTTATGCTTAGCTACTCTTTGCTTAAAGAGCCCCCCCCCCCCCCAAAAAAAAAAAAGAAAAAAGAAACAGGGGAAATATTCTGTCTTACAAGGGCAATATGTGGATGATGGTCTTTAACTTTTTGGGGTTCTTAAGCAAACAGTAGTTAGGGCTTAGGTTTCTGCCATGAAATGCAGCCGAGTTCTGAGCAAGAGCAATCTGCATCACGTGTATTTATGACCGTGACGCTTCATGTTTGGCAGAACACTGCGGACTATGTGGCCTCGCTGCCGTCAAAGGCAGCCAAAGGTGCAGGGGCCTCGAGATCTTGCGGCTTTTGTGGCTGCAGAGTTTGTTTTTTGGGGTCTATAGGGTTTAGGGTTTACGGGGGGGGGGGGGGTTGTTCTCAACCTGGGTTAGGTTTGAGGGTCATGGGTGCATGTTGGAGTGTGGGAGTTCTTCACAGGACCTTGATGTATAACAACCCGCATGGGGGTTGCTCTAAAGTATGACCCCAAGTGGGGACCTCAAATGTAAGGGCCCTGAAATCGAGACCCCTTAACTCCAACAAGAAATCCCGTTCCCTGCTCAAGGCAGGGCAGTTGCAACACCGAGCCAGGCTTGAAAACCCTGAGCCCAGAACCCTAAAACCTGCGATTTAGGATTTAGGGTTTTGGGTTTAGGGTTTGGGGTTTAGGGTTCAGGGCTTATAGGGCCTAAATCCAGAACCCGAGCCAAGGTGGAAAACTTCACCACTGGCGTCACGAACGTCACAACGTCTGCCGCAGTCCGAGCTTACAGAGCCCCCAGTACGGCCCAGCACCCCCCAATTTCGCCCCCAATACAGTAGGGCTTTAGTATCGGCCTGAGATGGGACCGCTTACATACCGTATATGCCTTCATACCCTATAAAACCTGAGGGCCCATACTTCAAAACCCGCTATAGGAGGTAAGGAACCGTATTCAACTACCCTTAGAGTCTTTTGTTTGTGCGAAGATAAGGTGGTGAGCTTTCCCGGGAAGGCCGCGTCCACAGTGAGCAACACAGTCGAAGGCGCGGTCTCCAACAGGGCTTTTGGTCCTTGACAGGGTACCCTGGATTCCTTTGAGGCCACAGACCCTAGGACCTAGAACCTAGAACCTAGAACCTTGAACCTTGAACCCTGAACCCTGAACCCTAAACCCTAACCCCTAACCCCTAAACCCTAAACCCTAAAACCCTAAAACCCTAAAACCCTAAAACCCTAAAACCCTAAAACCCTAAAACCCTAAAACCCTAAACCCTAAACCCCAAAACCCCTAAACCCTAAAACCCCAAAACCCTAATCCTCAACCCTAAGGGCTCCTAGCCCGCAAATTGGGGTGTAGAGTTTACTTTGGCTTGGGGCTGGGGTCCATGTCGTATGGCTAGGAGTCTTTTGGGGAATCTAGAAGCCCTAAACCCTAAACCCTAAACCCTAAACCCTAAACCCTAAACCCTAAACCCTAAACCCTAAACCCTAAACCCTAAACCCGCAAACTCCTAATCTTAACCCCGAAACCCCTACCCGGACACCCTAAACCCCAAACCCCCGCAAAACCTTGCGCTCTCAAGCTGGAGACTCTTCCCCAGTGTCGTGCCTTAAGGGGGTGTCTTTACATTTTGGGTTTAGGGTTTAGGGTGACACAAAATGGGGTCATGTTTTATGGAAGCCGCCAGGTGTGAACAAGACAGCAGAGGCCATTGCCAGCGCCTTAGTTCGGTCGTGCCTGAGCAGGCGAGGAGGTGGCAAAGACTGTAGGTTGCAGATTGGGATGTACCCCCTTGTACGAACAGTCCTTAGTAGGTTTATATAGTAGGGATGATGATAGGGGGTACTATAATCCCTATGAAGGACTGTGAGTAGATGGGGGAACATCCCAAGTTGCAGATCCTTTCAAACAAATTGCAGAATATAGATAACCTGGCATCAGGGCTTTCACCTGGGGTTCTGACCGGTGGGCATTCTAACTCTAACATGCTGCGGTTTAGGGCTCAGGGCTCAGGTTCTTTCTTTCGGAAGCAAGTAGGTGTTTTTTACTACAGGCCCGTTCTTGTGAAACCACTCTTAGGTTTTTTTGAAAGCAAGTTGTTTTTTTTCGAAAGCAAGTTGCCCATTGTCCCATGGGCCCTTGACCGCAGATTTTGGGGGCTCAGGGCCTGGCCGGCGCAGAATCTAGGATGAAGCTGTTTGACTTGGTAGCCTAGCCGTACCCTTCTCCTTTTTTTGCCTCAAGGTTTCATCTTATAAAGTAACCGAGCCCCAAACAGGCTGCCCTTACTGGCCTACCAAGAAATAGCATTCCCTTATGGCCCCCCATGAATTCTACTATAAGTAACACCCCAAACCCTATTCTAAATATTACGGCCCCCCGTATTACTTACTCAGTCAAGCGGGCTTCCAAGTATCTCCCGCGAACTGATGTGATGCGCGTGCCGCTTGCAGGTGAGCCTCCCTGGGAGAGTGCAGGCCTTGCTTCGTTTGGTGTGAGGGTTTAGGGTGGCCCCATTCTGGGTTTTAAGTGCATCTTCATGTAGAAAAGTTTAGGGGTTCGGGTTTTAGGGTTTAGATGGTTTAGGGTTTAGTTTTAGGGTTTATAGGGTTTATAGCGGGTTGCGGGAAGGATCAACCTAGATCCGCAGCGTCATATCGGTTAATTGCCAGGACAGCTGCCAAATCCAAACTCTACCACAAACGCCGGAAGCTCCAGACCCCACACTTGGCCAGTTTGGGGGAAACCCTAAACCATGAGCCCTAAACCCTAAACCCTGAGCCGTAGACCCTAGACCCTAAACCCTAGACTGCCCTAAACCCCACACTTGGCCTGCGGTGTATCCATTCTAGGATTTGCCTTGCAGAAGATTCCTTAAAGTGCCCTAACCCTAAACCCTGAACCCTAAACCCTAAACCCTAGCCCCTAAGCCCTAAACCCTAGACCCTAGACCCTAGACCCTAAACCCTAAACCCTAAACCCTAAACCCTAAGCCCTAAGCCCTAAGCCCTAAGCCCTAAGCCCTAAGCCCTAAGCCCTAAGCCCTAAGCCTAAACCCTAAACCCTAACCTCTAAACCCTATATACTATTAAGCCGTATTAACCCTATTAACCCTGTAAACCCTTCAAACCCTAAACCCTAAAGGCCCCAAGGCCCTAAACCCTACATTTGCCGTTGCATGATCAGAGGACAGCGCGACCCGAACAGCGGACGGAGTTACTTCTACGGTTGCGGGCTTGGGATGTTTAGTCATGTTTAGAGTTTCTGGGGTTTGGGGTTCCGAGTTCCGGGTTGAAGGTTTTAGGTCATGCTAGGGGACTTGGGGTTCAGGTCCTTAGGGCTTAGGGCTTAGGGCTTTAGGGTTTAGGGTTTAGGGTTTAGGGTTTCAGGTTCAGGGTGTTGTTGCAGTTTTGAATGTCCAGCCGCGAAGCGGTGCCATTCCTTCCCCTTCCTTCACTTGGTTGCCTTCCCCCTCTTTCTTGGCCTAACCCCCACCACAGACAAAGTCGGTATCCAAAGCTCGTGAAGCTAATGCCTAGGAAATGGAGCAATGCGCCTCGTGCAAATTCCACAGCTCTGGAGCACTTCTCTTTCTCCTCTCCCCTAAACCTGTGTTACCTGAGGTTGATGCCGTGGCGAGCATTCCAACGAAGGTGAAGGAATCAGCGCCTGCCTCAAGGGGCTCATGATTCTGGTTTTGTAATTTTCAGTTGCTGCGATGATTAGGGTGCTTATTGTTAGTACTATGTGTCTTTAGCTTCATTAGAAACCCCAAGCCCGAAACCCTCAACCCGAAAATCCTCCAGCCGAGAGGGTACCCTTTTTATTCCTAGGTTACAAACCACAAACCACAAACCACAAGCCACAAACCACAAACCACAAACCACAAGCCACAAACCACAAACCACAAACCACAAACCACAAACCACAAACCACAAACCACAAACCACAAACCACAAACCACAAACCACAAACCACAAACCACAAACCACAAACCACAAACCACAAACCACAAACCCTATCCTAAACCCTAAACCCTAAACCCTAAACCCTAAACCCTAAACCCTAAACCCTAAACCCTAAACCCTAAACCCTAAACCCTAAACCCTAAACCCTAAACCCTAAACCCTAAACCCTAAACCCCTAGAGCAGGGTCAGCACGCAGCCCCGAAATCGCAACCCCAGCCCGCGCCTCTGCTTCGACTCCCTGTTTCGAAGCCGGGTTTTAGGGTTTAGGGTTTAGGGTTTAGGGTTTAGGGTTTAGGATTTAGGGTTTAGGGTTTAGGGTTTAGGGCTACTATTTCTCTTATGGTCCTAGAGGGGGAGCACGGTCAACACGTGAAGCCAGCTCGCTGCGGGAGCAGGTCGATGCGGTGGCGAGCATCCCGTCGAAGTTGAAGGAATCGGCGCCCCAACTCAAAGAGGTCCAAAAATGGCAGCCTAAACGGTTTAGGGTTTAGGGTTTAGGGTTTAGGGTTTAGGGTTTAGGGTTCAGGGTTCAGGGTTAATGTATACTGTGACTAAGACATATTCATAACAGAGTATGACCAACATAGTCAGAGCCAGCCCTAGTTAACTAGAAAACCTTAAGAGCACTAAAAAATAGCCGTACCGTTTTTAGAGTGGCGGGAAAAATACGGGGGGATTTGGCGGCCCCCGGCTTGGCCCTGGGGCTTATTTAGGGCTGTTAGGTTTTAGGGCTTCTTAGGTTATTACTTTTTTTTTTTGGGGGGGGGGGGGTTAGGGTTTTAGAGGGTTTGTCTAGGGTTTTTGAAGGTGTTTTTGAGTTTTGTGTTTTTTGTTACTGGTTTTCGGGGTTTAGGGTTTCAGGGTTTCAGGGTTTTGGGGTTTTGGGTTTTTGTGGTTCTAGGGTCTGGGCTCTTCGGGGCATGCACTTCAAGTGCTTGGAAGGGCCTAGCCCTTGGCGCAGTGCCTAGGGTGTAGGGTTTAGGGTTTAGGGATTAGGGTTTAGGGTTTAGGGTTTGGAGTGTTCGCGGACTTAGGGTTGAGGGCCTCAGTTGAGGGTTAAGGCGGTTAAGGGTTCGGGGTTCAGGGGCATCAGGGCTGTGTTTAACTTCGGCCTGAGCCGTAGGCGACCGTCCACACACCCTCCAGACTCGCGAACCTGAACCCTAAGCCCTTAATCGTAGGGTTTAGGGTTTGGGGTTTAGGGAACCCGTAAACCCTCAAAACTTTAAGCATAGAGCGTGCGTCGCGTGGACCTGGGTTTTTCTATTCAAGCTACTGATGTTTTCCCTTGCGTGACCTTTTCTGCAAGCTAAAGCCCCTAAGCCCCCCAGACTTCCTAGACTCCCGAAGGTCTTTTCCTTGCCTTGTGTGGTTTAGGGTTAAGGGTTTAGGGTTCAGGGTTTAGGGTTTAGGGTTTAGGGTTTAGGGTTTAAGTTTAGGGTATAGGGTTTAGGGTTTAGGGTTTTAGGGTCAGGGCTTTCATTCGTTCAAGTCCAGGTCGATGCCGTGGTGAGCTTTCCGGGGAAGGTGAAGGAATCCGCGACTCATCTCAAGAGGATGCAGGGTTTTTGAGTTTAGGGTTGTCCCAAAACCCTATTCCCAGGGTTTAGGGTTTAGGGTTTACAGACTGTCGGGTTGTCCCAAAGCCCTAAACTTGAAACCCTGAACGCTAAACCATAAACCCTAAACCACAAGAAAGAGACCCAACTTCTCCCACATCCGAGGTGGATGGTGTGCTTGCCGCCCCCGGCAAGGTGCTTCGATTATGGGGTTCTTAGGGAACCTTGGGTTAACATCCCCCCTTGAACCCTCCCTCCCTCAAGAACCCTAGTTCGAGGGCTTCGGAAGTAGGGTTTATATTACTGCTCTTGGTGAGTGTATAATATAAGGTTCCTTTTTCATGTTGGTGAGTGTATACACCGGGTGTCCTTTTGGGGGTACAAGAAATGTATACCCTACTTCATGTCAAGCCGAGTCTCGTCATAGATTCGCGAATATTCTCTTTTGGAATTCAGGGTTCGAGAGTTTAGGGTTCAGGTTTCGGGGTTGGGTGTCGGGGGTGCCAGGCAAAAGGGCTGAGGTCGCAGGTTCATGGAACGGGGTCCCTGAAGCCCTAAAACCCCTCAATGCCTAAGACCCCAAACCCCAAACCCCAAACCCCAAACCCCAAACCCCAAACCCCAAACCCCAAACCCCAAACCCCAAACCCCAAACCCCAAACCCCAACCCCAAACCCCCAACCCCAAACCCCAAACCCCAAACCCCAAACCCCAAACCCCAAACCCCAAACCCTAAACCCTAAACCCTAAACCCTAAACCTTAAACCCTAAACCCTGTCGCTAGCAGCCCTAAACCTTAAACCCCAACAACCCTGAGTTGGAGCAGCTTCAGAGGTCAAGGAGTCCGTGGACAGCACGCTGAGTGCAGGCCTGTGGCCGAGGTTGTGCAGCTTTAGGGGTTTGGGGATTTTAGGGACAAGGTTTAGGGTTTAGGGTTTGGGGTTTAGGGTTTGGGGTTTAGGGTTTGGGGTTGAGGGTTTAGGGTTTAGGGTTTATGGTTTAGGGCCTAATAGGGTTTAGGGTTTAGGGTTTAGGATTTTGGGTTTAGGGTTTGTTGAGCATTGCGGTTTACGTGAGCCTCTGCAGCTGTCAGGCAAGAGCTTCCTCGACGGCGTGGCTGGAGCCACGTCCTCAGCACAGACACCCTGGCAACTGTAGTACCGGGGTTTCCGAAAATTAGGGTTTAGGGTCTAGGGTCTAGGGTCTAGGGTTTAGGGTTTAGGGTTTAGGGTTTAGGGTTTAGGGTTTAGGGTTTAGGGTTAATAGTATTCCCTTTTGATCCCTCTATGAGTATACTATAGTAGCCCCCCAAAACCCTATTCTACTTGTTAAGGCACCTATATTATGTGGACATTTCTCTGAGTTATAGTTTTGCTTTGGGGGTTTGCCAGTATGATGCAGAGAGCTATATTTCGGGTACCATACAAAGGAGCATCTCTTGCGGAAGCGCCCATATATCATAGCCGCCATAGCCCCAAACCCTGATAAACCTTGTGGAGTGTCCTCGGCTTAAAACACTAAATTTAAGCCCGTAGTGTGGGATGCTCCCCCTTATACAAACAGTCCTTAATAGGGATGGTAATAGGGGAAACTATAATCCCCATTAAGGACTGTTGGCAGAAAAGGGAACATCCCAACCCATAATCCTCCACTCTAAATCCCCTAAACCACCCTAAAACCCTAAATCCTGGCAGGCCATCTCCTTCATCGCAGGCGGCGTTTCAGGTGGTGTCTCTGTGAGGGCCTCAGTGGCTCGAACGCTGCGCCTTGAAACATGAAGTGGGATTTAGGGTGTAGGGTTTCGGGATTTGAAAAGTGGGCCCTTATTCCTTGCTTATTGGGTTAAGTTTTGTTTTTACAACAGTTTAAACACAGAAGGCTGGCCTTTTTCTCCTCTAGGATACTCTGGGACCTGGTCCAAGGGCTGGCCTGTAACCCCTAAACTAAACCTACACGCTAAGTTGAGTTTAGGGTTTGGGGTTTAGGGTTTAGGGTTTCGGATTTAGGGCTTAGGGTTTAGGGTGCATCCTCCCTTGCTATGACCGCCATTGCCACTGCTACTGTGGCACCTCAAATCATGCAACCCTGAACCCTCCTGGCCCGGGTTTGAGGTTTAGAGGTTTTAGGGCTTGAAGGGCAAACCCCAAACCCCAGACCCCAAACCCCAGACCCCAGACCCCAAACCCCAGACCCCAGACCCCAGACCCCAAACCCCAACCCCAAACCCCAAACCCCAAACCCCAAACCCAAACCCCGAAACCCCAACCCCAAACCCCAAACCCCAAACCCCAAACCCCAAACCCCAAACCCCAAACCCCAAACCCCAAACCCCAAACCCCAAACCCCAAACCCCAAACCCTAAACCCTAAACCCTAAACCCCAAGCTCTAGCACGACCCTCCTCTGAGGCCATCAGCTCCGCCGCCTCATCGGTCCAGGCCTCCATGCCCAAAGAGTCCAAGGCCCCACCCAAGGCAGCTCCGAAGCGTTTAGGGTTTAGGGTTTAGGGTTTAGGGTTTAGGGTTTAGGGTTTAGGGTTTAGGGTTTAGGGTTTAGGGTTTAGGGGTTTAGGGTTTAGGGTTTGGGGTTTAGGGGTTTAGGGTTTAGGGGTTTACCACCCAAGGCAGCTCCGAAGCCGGCGGCCGCGCCGAAGGCCGCACCCAAGGCGCGGCTGTCTGGAGGGGTTTATGGGGTTTAGGGTTTATAGGGTTTATAGGGTTCAGGGTTTGGGGTTTAGGGTTTGGGGTTTAGGGTTTAGGGTTTGGGGTTTAGGGTTTGGGGTTTAGGGTTTATGGGATTTTTGGAGTTTATAGGGTTGATAGGGATTAGGGTTTAGGGTTTGGGGTTTAGGGTTTTTAGGGCTTATAGGGTTTATAGGGTTGATAGGGCTTATAGGGTTTATGGGATTTTGGGTTGATGGGGTTTAGGGTTGATAGGGTTTAGGTTGATAGGGTTTATAGGGTTTGTGGGGTTTATGGGGTTTAGGGTTTATAGGGTTTACAGGGTTTATAGGGTTTACAGGGTTTATCGGCTTTATAGGGTTTATAGGGTTTATAGGGTTTATAGGGTTTATAGTATAGAGTTAACAGGGTAAAGGGTTTATATAGCAGCTGGGGAGGGCCTTTTCCAGCTGGACGTGAGCCCAGGAAGCAATGCATGCGCTTGTCCGCCCTGAACCCGGAGCACCCTAAGCAAACTCCCAAACTCCCAAACTCCCAAACTCAAGACTGGTACCTCGGACCACTATGGCTTAGGTGCTACATTCGCGGTTTTTGTTCAAGGGAAGCCTTGAGAGGTACAGCCTCAGGCTATCAGGGGGGAAGAGTTTGGACTTGACCCAAAACCCCACAACCTAAGCCCCAGACCCCAAAAGCCAAAGAGGCTCTGAGAACCTAAATCCCCCACCCCTCAGCCCTGAAATCACCCTAAATCCTGAACCCTTGAAGCCCTGAAATCTGAACCCCGGAGCGAGAATTCGGAGTGTCCCCACCCAGGGAATACCCTCCCCCCACCTCCCACCACCCCCCTCGAGGTTGATGCTGCCGCGCAAAAGGCCGACTTTAAGGCACGTGGGTTTTTGGGTTTAGGGTTAGGGGTTTTGGCGGTGGGCATATAGTGGGCGAGGGTTTAGGGTGGTAGATTTCAGGGTTGAGACCTTTCTGGCCTTAAATTGCTTGAGGGAGACCAGGCCCAACATTCTTGAGAGGTTTCAGGATTCTTCGCTTTAACCTCCCAAGGTCCTCATTCCCCTGCATCCCGTGTAGGAGCCGAACCCTAAACCCTAAACGCTAAACCCTAAACCCTAAACCCAATCCCCTAAACCCTAAACCCTATACCCTACACCTTAAACCCTAAACCCTAAACCCTAAACCCTAAGCCCTAAACCCTAAACCCTAAACCCTGAACCCTAAACCCTAAACCCTAAACCCGGGTCGACCCTTTGCATCGAGCGGCACGATCCCAAGCCCTCAAGTCACGAGTGCTGGCGCCTTAGCCCGCTACCATAAACTTCCTGAAGTGTTAAGTCCTCAAGCCCTCAACCGAAAAAATCCACAGAGGCGTTGTTTTTTTTGCTGGGTTTATGATACTATATCCTGATGCAATTACATGGTTATCTTGTTGAAATATTATTTTGTACAGAATCAACATCAATGGAGCCGTAGGTCATTGTTCCGCATGTCTTACATTTCTGGTTACTCAATGGATTACAGTCATCTATTCGTGTATGGTTGCATTGTTATGTTACTGCATTCTAAGCCCTAAAGCCCTCAACCCACACCCGCAAACCTTGAGAGCTTCCTTCCCTCAACCCAAGCCCTAAACCCTAAACCCTAAACCCTAAACCCTAAACCCTAAACCCTAAACCCTAAACCCTAAACCCTAAACCCTAAACCCTAAACCCTAAACCCTAAACCCTAGACCCTAAACCCTAAACCCTAAACCCTAAACCCTAAACCCTAAACTCTAAACCCTAAACCCTAAACCCTAAACGCTAAACCCTCAACCCTCAACCCTCAGCCCTAAACCCTAAACCCTAAGCCCTAAGCCCTAAGCCCTAAACCCTAAACCCTAAACCCTAAACCCTAAACCCTAAACCCTAAACCCTAACCCGCGGAGCCGCATGCAGGCCGAGTTGGCGAAGAAAGCTCAAGAGACGGCCAAGGACGTTGAGCTGCGGCTCTCAGGGGGGTTCTGTTGTGTTCCTCGACCCCAAACCCTTGCGCTGTGCCCCTAAACACCTAAACCCCTAGACCCTAAACTCTACACCCTCAACCCTAAACCCTGAAGGGTGCTGGGGACGCCCTGAAGTTGAGGGCCTACGGGTTGTGGGATGTGCCGGAGGATCTTGGTCCTGTTACCGTAGCAGTACATACCCCTTCTTCTTGCAATAAGCCTTGTTCCAAAGACGGTTGCCATGAGAGGGGCCATCCGAAGATATGTTAAAAAGCCCACAACCCTCAGGACTTAACCTTACGCCCTTCTGAAGAGCAGGGTAAGCCGTTCTGAATTCGTAGGGCTGAGGCCTCCGGGTTCAGAGTCTACTTGCGTTGGAGTGAGGAATGCCGACCGGTTGCTCGGTCGGTCGCTTCCCGGTTGGTTTCGTAAACTCTGCCAGATACCCGCTAAACCCTAAACCCTAAACCCTAGATCCTAGACCCTAGACCCTAAACCCTAAACCCTAAACCCTAAACCCCAAACCCTAAACCCTAAACCCTAAACCGATTTGTGATGCAACTCGAAGCCCTAAGGCCTGAACCCCAGTGTTTCTCTAAAGGGAAGCGCTTGAAAGGCCCTAAACCCAAGGCCTGCTGTGATTTCGGAAGCTCATGACCCTAAACCCTAAACCCTAAACCTCAAACCTTAAACCCTAAACCCTAAACCCTAAACCCTAAACCCTAAACCCTGAACCCTGAACCCTAAACCTTAAACCCTAAACCCTAAACCAACTGAAAGCTCCAAAATGGTTGACCCTGTCGCTTGCCCAAGGCCTGAGAAGGTGTAGACCAAAGATGACCTTCGTGACAAGCTGCGGATGCTAAGCCCGGAGCCCTAAACCCTAAACCCTAAACCCTAAGCCCTAAGCCCTAAACCCTAAACCCAAAACGCGCATTTCCTGCCCGAAGCTTTGGAGAAGTCCTTGGCTCGCGCTGGCTCGAGTTTTTCGTCATCTTAACCCTGCATTTAGGGCGCTTCCCTTTAGAGAAACATCCTTGAAAAGGGATTATCCTGAGGAATGGGTGCTTTCATTACTAACATTGCGGCTGCGTTCCGCGACTGCAGGCCGTGTACGCCCGAGTCGCCCGAGTACGCCCGAGTACGCCCGAGTACGCCCGAGTACGCCCGAGTACGCCCGAGTACACCCGAGTACGCCCGAGTACGCCCGAGTACGCCCGAGTACGCCCGAGTACGTCCGAGTACGCCCGAGTACGCCCGAGTACGCCCGAGTACGCCCGACTAAGCCCGAGTCATACCCGGTCATACCCGGGCATACCCGGTCATACCCGGTCATACCCGGGCATACCCGGGCATACCCGGTCATACCCGGTCATACCCGGTCATACCCGGTCATACCCGGTCATACCCGGTCATACCCGGGCATACCCGGGCATACCCGGGCATACCCGGGCATACCCGGGCATACCCGTTCATACCCGGGCATACCCGGTCATACCCGGTCATACCCGGTCATACCCGGTACCCGGTCATATATCCCGTGGTTTCCGCAGTCGCGGTTTCCCGTCACAGTGATTACTAACATTATGTCATCCGAGGATGTTGCACCCCAATCCCTAAACACTCTTAAACCCTGAGCCCTCAACCCTAAACCCTAAACCCTATACCCTGAACCCTAAACCCTAAACCCCAAACCCTAAACCCTATACCCTATACTACCCTGAACCCGGAAAAACAAAAAAAAGCAGATGTGTCCGAGGTTTCCCCAAAAGGCCAGCGACTTCTCAGCTCTGTAGTTTGCTCCGACAGTCTTGCCCCGGCTGAGCGCAGCAAGGCTGCTTCCAACAGCCGAAAGCTGCCAGCTTTGAAATCTGAGGGTAACGAAAGAAGGGTTTAGGGTTTAGGGTTTAGGGTTTAGGGTTTAGGGTTTAGGGTTTAGGGTTTAGGGTTTAGGGTTTAGGGTTTAGGGTTTAGGGCTAATCGACAGGATTTGGATTTTGGGCCTTCAGGGTTCAAGGGCTGTTGGGAGTTCAAGAGGGGGCGTAGGGGTCAAGAGTTTATCCCAAAACCCTGAACCCTTATTACTACAGCGTCCTTGTCCTTATGTACCTAAGTGGCCCCGCAGCAGTGCCTAGACAACCCCTAGGGCCCCTGTAAGACCTTCTTTTCGTGTTTCGTGCCTGAATTTAGGGGTCTAAGGGTTTAGGGTTTAGGGTTCAGGGGTTAGGGTTTAGGCTGTAGGGTTCAGGGTTTAGGGTGTGGGGGTCTGTAAGGACTTATGGCTTCAAGCAGCGCTTGGCGGGCTGAAGGCAGCTGTAGGATGGTCGGTGGGCAGCCTGGGTTAGGAGCCGGGGCGCCTCTTGCTGTCCCCTCTGCAGGACCTAGGGCTAGGACTCGGAATGTGCAGGAATACTTGGAGGTCCAGGATACTTGAAACCCATTATTTATTCTAGCTGATCTTATCAGCCCCCTATGTCTTCTAAGTTGGTTGTAAGTAGACTTGTATTTGGGGCTATAAGTACTTATGAACCTCCATGTACCCTACGAGTGGTTCGGCTCAAGGGCTTTCTTCTAGGATTTCTTACTAGTGCCCCAGGTTCAAGACTCCCGGCTAAAGCTCCTCAGAAAGGGCAACCCGGTTGATTCTTAAGTTAGAAGGGCAACCTCGAGGGTGACGGCTCTGTGAAGTAGGCACTTGGGCCTGGAATCCGTTGATGCCGAACCCTGAACTCCTGTAAGCCCTGAAAGCCCTAAAGCCATGTAAACCCTAAACCCATGTTAAACCCTAAACTAAACCTTATGATCCTTAAACCCTATGAGCCCTAAACCCGATGCACCTCTCCACGCCCTGTAAACGCTAGAACGTGCGGAGCCCGAAACCCTGTAAAGCCTTAATCTTAACGGTCAAGCGCTTAGGCCGTCTCTAGGAGGCAGTTATTCCAGGCCCAAGCGATGATTTGGGAGGCTAGGCAGCTACGAGCGACGCCACGTGACAACTTGTGATTTGTTCTCATTACATTTATTGTTCGTACTGTTCTTATTGTTCGTAAGAAGCCCATGAGTTATGACCTGGCATCTCCCATGCGTGCGAAGCACATGCAACGAGTTGCTCTCACCAATTTTCCGCTCCTTTTTCAAGCTTGCTTCTCTATGCGACGGGCGCTGGGACCAAATGAACCTTATAATTTGGGGTCATACCCCTAATACTACCATGACCACAACCCCTACTAAGGCATATGAACAATTTACCCTATTTAGGACTCCAAACAAGGGATCAACAGTGCGCCCCCTTCACATTCAGAAGCCCCTTCGGTTGTTCATGATGGCCGCGCAGAATGCTCGAACAGACAGACGCTCATGCTTCGACAGACAAAAGGCTTGGCAAGCTGAGGGTAGAGCTGCACACAGGAGCTGCCAGAACAATGATAGGGGGTCGGAATACTTACCAATAGTCTTCTGTCATGGTCCCGATATCATTATGCCATGTAATAACCAACAGGACCCTATTCTAATTATTTAGGCCCCTTGGCAGACAGTACCTCGCGGAGCAATGTCCTCCACCCCGAAAATTGGCTCAGAGCAAAGCACTATTTTACAGCTTTGGGTGGGAGAGAAAGTGCCTTGTTATGTTCAGCCAAGCAGGGTCAGCCTGAATGAAAGCAGTCATCAGCCCACATGCCAGGCCGCGTTCCATATCGATGAAGGAGGCTCAGAAAATCTCGATCACAGATAGATGTTTTTCGTGGGTCCCTCTGTACCCCATCCGTGCTGCTGCTGGTAAAATCACCAGTAACCCTGTGTGTCTGATTGGCATCTGAGTTCACGAAATTGGATTAGACGCATCGCTGGATGGTCCAACACGATCTTTTGAAGCAATGTTGTTCCGCAGCCTCTGCGTTTTGTTTTGGCATCATGCATGAGCCACAGCGTTCACAGATGCATCAGCGTGTGCACAAGCAAGATAGCAGCCAGCAGAAAACATAGAACACTTACCTGTGCGGTAAGCCATGGCCTTCTCGAGGGCGCCCAGATTCACGCCCACGCGTGAGTCCCTGCCAGGGCCGGCAACGTACCGGATTCAGAGATTGTTCGACTCGTCAACGATACGCCCGATACGTGTCTTGGGTCGACTTGATGTGAGGGAGTCACAATGGCAGCTTTTCGTTCTGCCATCAGTTGGGGATGGTCATCCTGCTTGGTCAATGCTTTGATGAACAGAAACAGCTGGTAAGGATTACGTCCAAAAGGACAACGTCCACAAAGGAGCCAACCGTCCAGGAAAGTAAGTACATTGCTGATAATATTACCCTAAACCCCAACCCCTAAACCCTAAACCCCAAACCCCAAACCCTAAACCCTAAACCCTAACGCCTAAACCCTAAACCCTAAACCCTTCTCAGTACAGCAGGGTTCGAAGCTGGCGTTGGCCATCCGCATCTTCGGAGATGGTGCTATGCCCGTGGACACAAGGGTTTACATTCTGATAATACTAAGAAAAGTAAAACTAATATAGTAATGATGTAATAATCATAACGATAATAATAATTAATACTGATAATTATCGTAATAAGGAAGCCCCCTCGAAATCAGTATTCCGCGTGAATGGAGCTTAGACATGTTTGGACCATGGTGTCACTGGGTTTGTTTGTATGGTTCGTCCCTTTCCGGACGCCTGCCAAGCGTTAAACTCCTCAATGGTTTAGGATTTCTAAGGGCAGCGCAGGATCTCAAGGGAAGTTTGCCAGGGGTCGTTGTGTAGTGCCCGCTAAAGGGGCTGTTTAGTGCGTGTGGGTGTGCTGCTACATGGGTGTGATCGCACTATCCGTGATCACACTATCCGAGTCTAGATGCTGATGACAATGGCGATGAATATGATAGCATTTTCGTAATGACGACGAGCGTGTTGTTGTTGATGACGTTGATGGTGATGACGACGGTGAGGACGGTGATGACATTGAGGATGGTGACGCCGACAATTCGGAAGAATAGATGGAGCAGGATGGTAGCAGTTGTAATGCCAGTGGTCCTTTTCTTTCAGAACATCTCTTTCTGTTGGCGTGGCATCGTACGCAATTGTTTCTCAAACTCCAGATGCTTTGGTGTTGTTAGGCATTTCTTGACCTCCTGTGCCGTACCATGGTCAAGATGTTTACTTGGAATGTATTCCAGAACTTTCAGCATAGTGTTGAAACCATCGCCTCCTTTTCTGAGGTCGGGAAGCTCAGAAACAACCTGCCATTCCGAAAGAAGCAGCGGGCCCTGTTCTACTTGGACGAAGCAGGCCACCGGTTGGCAAAGGGGAGGGCAAGGAGAAGCGAGAGCATGAAAAGCTACTGCCAGCAGTGGCAGGGCCTCTGATGGAGGAGCCCTGTTGGCTGGATGTGGCGCGCGTGGAGGGCCCGCTCCGTAAGAACGCTAGAGCTGTCACTGGAGCTTTGTTTTTGGCCTACGTCGTCAAGACTGGCCAAAAGTTCGTTCTCAAGAAGAAGGCAAGTGACGACTCTCGGGCCAACAGAACACTTTGTGTAAACGATGGAACCTGTGCAATTATTGTGGCTGCATAGGCCGCCACTGAGCCTCTGAACAACTTTTGTTTGTCACACTCAGCCCAATCTTGCTGAGGAGCATGGGGAGCCAGACGCAGTGTTTCTTCGAGAGGCTGAATTTATGAATGCCCACAAGCATCCGAATATTGCGAATATCTTGTTTGTATCGTCTTCCCCGACAACCGTCATCGCCGTGGAGCTGCTTGGCCCGCCCCTTTCCACGACGCAACAGCACATCAACCGTGTTGGGCTCAAGGAGACTTGCCACTGACATCAGCGAGTTTGCCTTAGACGGGGGATTTTGTCAATTGCTTTTCCTCGATAAGCGAGTTACGCCGAACATCATTGTCCCGGACATTTACTTAGCACAAATTTGTACGTTGGATTGTTTTTAATCGCCTCCAGCCTGCACTGCGGCTTCCCGGTGCAGACGAAGCGAAAACGCAAGCAACACTCACAGAGACACAGACGTACAGACTCGGAAGCCGAAACAGAAGCAGATGCAGACAGAGGTGCTGAAGCCGACACAGGCATGCGCGCTGTGATCGACACACGCGCGCACACACTGTCGCAGACACAATGGCAGACGCAGCGTGGACACAAAAGTGCAGACACAAACACAAAAGGGTAGGTGACTTCAAGCGAGGGCAAACATAATGACAATGCAGCAGCAGAAAATATACGAGACAATCACAACGCACCTACTACACGGGAACATCTGCAAAACACAGGCTTGCGCGGCGGATGTCTTCGTTGGAATTCCCGTGCGCTGGCAAGTTCTTCTACGTGCGTTTATACTTGGAAAGCCCTTAGAACATTTACATATAGTACCAATGTAGAACATAGAGGCAGCAAGCACGCCACTGGAACCACACTCAACACTTGAGGTTCTCCTCGCTGCACACATGCGCTTAGAATGTCGGTTCTTGAATATGGAATGGGGGAATGAATGCATATAGCAGAAATGGAAATGTTTTTCATCTTGCAGGAAAGCAAACTGAACACGAGTTAGCTAGTGTCAAAGGGAAGAAAGTCTTGAACTCTTGTCTTTGCTTGCTGAGTTCCACTTGCTTAGCAACGCAGATTCCCACAATTCGGACCAGCAACTCGCTCACGAACCGCATGTTGTTGTGGGGTTAACCCTCCCCTTGTGGAGCCTACGATTTCGGAACGCGAGTTCTGAGCAGACGTCCGGGAACAGAATGAGACACTGCGGACACCGGCTTGAGCCAAGACTTGCCAGGATGCTCATGCAGCAACTGTTTCTCAAGGCTTTGGTTGGTGAGAATGTGAGGCATGTAATTACGGCTGAGTTCACGTTTTGTCACAAAAAGAAGGGAATCCTTGCAGTGCAGTTTTCGCCCAGTGTCCTTGTCAGGAAGCTTTCAGGTGTGTGGCCACGGCAGTCCTCTTTCTACATGCGAGGCTTGTTGTCCATCGCGACATCAAGCCAAGCAACTGTTGCCACTCAGATCTGTCTGCCACAACGTGGGCTCTGAAGTTGATCGACTTTGATGCAGCTGAAACTTGTTCTTGTTAATATCATATGTTTGTTTGCGCGACGTGTTTGTGCACATCCGCAAGATCATGTTGGTGGTCCTTTCAAAAGGTAGCCCGATTAGCCAATTAGCCTTCTTTGCCACATGTTTTCTGTTGCTTACGTCGCTAGCAACCTCAGGAGAGCTTGGCAGAACCAGCCGGTCACGGCCCTGGCACTCCTTTTCTGTACTCGCCGATAGATTGGCAGGTCTGGTGCAGAAAGGCCGGGCAACTTTCGCGAAAGTGTTTGAAGGGCAGTGTACCGCAGTCATCTCATTATGTCTTCCCCACATCGTATTCGAAGAATCCTCACATCGTCCTCACATCGTCCTCGCATCGTCCTCACATCATTGTCACATCCTCTCATATATCAACCCAACATCGTGCTCCATCTTCTCAAGCGTCCACCCGTCCATCTCCTAAAACATCCACCCGGCCAACCTCTACGGGGGCCCCTTGTTTGGAAACTGAATGTCGCTGAAGCTTGAATCCCATAGCATGACCTGGTCCAACACAGTATTTAGTTTATTGGATCTTTGTAGGAAAGTACCAGGAGAGCAATACGGAAAAGAAACGCCCAGCAATCCTATACCACGCACCTCCACGGACAAACCCTTCACAACGCTTTTGCGGTAACAAACTACGTTTGACTGACCATGTTTGGGCCCGAAAGCCCCTGAAGGATCTGGATGAGTATGCGGTCGGCGTCACTTTTCATGACGCGATCGTGGACCACCTTCATCTTCCTCACTCTGTTGCAGCATCCTTGATGCTGGGGCTGCAGACCCGCGAGAAGGCGCTGGACGAGGCCGGGTTGCACGGTCCGTCTGCGCCAATCAATGCTGCGCCCGGTTTAGTAGGGCCTCCGCCCCCTGAACACAGCTGGGGCCCTCTTTTCGTAAACTTTTCACAGACCGCCCAAACCAATGTGGGGGAGGGCCCTGAAGCCCTGAAGACTTCGCGGCCAGAGACCCTGAAACTTTCTAGCCAAGGCTTAGGCCCGAAGCCTGAAGCTTTTAAAAGCCTTAAATCTTGAAACTGTCCTTCGTGGATTGAAGCCAGGCCCTAAACAACCCAACTCCTTTGTCCTGAAACTTTCTGAACACTATTTCCGGGGACCAAAGAAGCCTACCATGGGTACCTGTAAACGTTTCGTGTTGGGGGCTCACTTCGTAACGTCGTAAGGAAACCCAGAAAGGTTACAGATGGAACGCGCCCAACCCGGGCTCTGCTCTCGAAGATTCCAGGAGCCAAGGGCCCTTAACTTTGAAGCCTTTACCCTGAGCCTGAGAGAGAGGTCTGTGCCTGAGTTTGAAGCAGCAAAGGGAAGAAGTGTCCTCAGATTGCAGCTAGAGCCAAATCCCCCAAAAATCCCATCCAAAGCCTTGCGGTCATAGCGAGTGCCCAGCAAACTGAATTCGCGGAATAATCCCGGGAAACCTGTGATTACAGCAAGTGGCTCTAATATGCTCTAATAAACCGGGTGCAACAGAACTACTTTGCGTGAGGATGTGTCTTGTTTGCCTTATTTATTCTTATTTCGTCCGCGCTGTGCGACTGCAACTGTGAGGCTGTAAGGCCGCTGTTGTTGTCAAGTGTTTGTGCAATTTCCGCAGCATGATGCATCCTAAGCATTTCTAAGCACAGCCCGTCCATGTAGTTCTTGTCGTGCTGTCCATCTTGGGTGCAGAAACCATGGGCATTCTTGCACGGGGGTTTGCGGCCCGTAGCGCTGAGGTGCTCTCGTCAGTGCCATCATCAGAAGCTTGGCGTGTATTTTGCTAGAGCGTTCAGTGGCTTTCGGAGCCTGAGCGTCCGAGAGCTGTAGAAACTCAACGAACTTTTCATCAGCGCCCTTAATTTTGGTTTCTCAAGACCAAGCAGTTCTTTGGACACATGCTTGCTGACGTCTGAGTGCGAGGGTTGGTTTCTGGCACAGTAGTTCTTCGTCCCTGGTAATCTTAGGGTGTTTACGACGTTCCGGCCTTGCTTGTAGTGACTTTGACTGTGTGTGGCATGTTCTGGCGTCAGATCAAGAAAGCTGACAATCTGCTTCAGTACGTTTCAATGTGTCCACTCTGGTGCATATCGATGACAGCAATGAGTTTGATAGCGTTGGTGACACACGTGGTGAAAGCTACAAAGGTCACTCTTTGAATGGCGATGTATCTCGACGAGCTTGTCAGTCGGATGTTGCCCAAAGTAGAGCCCAAACAGAAAATCACCCCGGATTTTGGACAAAGGAGTCCTCCTTCCGCGTTATAATGCTCCACGGTGTTGTCGCCCTCTGGCAGTTGACCTACCTTTCCCACGCACACTTGGAGAGGTGTTCCCTAAGTTCGGGCTGATCATTGTGCCTCTTGAATTAAGGTTCGTCGTTTGTCCACGTGTTTCGGGGGTTTCGGGGCCATGCGGCAGTTGGCGCCGTAGCTGTTGGTGATGTCACTTGTCGCATTGAGACGCGTTGGCTCGTTGATGGCCTGCTTGACCAAGGAATGGTTTTCGGGCAACGTTTACTCTGTGCCAGCGAGATGAAAAATTGCCGTGCCTCTACTCTGCCCCAACTTTCTGCCCCAACTTTCTGCCCGAACCCCGTGGAAACCCCAAAAAACTGAACTTTGGGCCACCATTCAAGATGTATATAGGAAAAGAGACATGTTCACACAAATGACACAACCACTCCTGAAGTGGAAAACTAAGAAAACTTCGGTTTCTCTCGAGTAAACTAGACCTTCCTCCCCTCTGTGCTTGCTGATGCTCCCCAACCTGGCCTGTAATCCCCAAACCTTCAACACGGAACTTCGAAGTTTCGTGTCGAAAATCCCCCTAGCCGAAACCTGCGAAAACGTGTGTTTTTTCGAGTAAAACACGCGTTTCCCCAAAAAAGCGCGGGCAAACGCCCAGGCCTGACCAGGGTTGGGCAGGGGACAAGCGTGCGCAGTCGGCACGTGTCAAAGCAGTGGCACTTCCCGTGCCGAGTTTTTTCAGGCCCGGCCACAGGCATCCTTTCGGAAGCTTCTGCTCAAGTGCGACCAGGTAAGGAGAGCAGAGCCCTGAGACATTGCGTTCACATCCAGGCGCAGACATGTGTAGGATGCATCGAGGGGTATACACATCCCCTGAAGCTTCTTTTCAAGGCCGAGAGCCCACTCAACCCTAGCCGCCCTAGACCCCCAAGCCCCTAAACTCCCTTCTCCGAAGAGGAGTTCGGGGGGCGCCCCGAAGCCGACCTACAAGTCCTAAGCCCCGAAACCCCAACTTTCCGAAAACCTACCTTTCCCCTCCCCTCCCTCCCCCCCAGCTGCCATGGCGTCCTCCGAGCTGTTGGGCGCCCTCAACCGGCCGTGGCCCACGAGAATCCGCTGTTGCAGAGGTTTAGGATGGTTTAGGGTTCAGGGCGTAGGGTTTAGGGTGTAGGGTTGAAGGCACAGGATGGTTCAGGGTTCATGTCTCAAATCATCAAACAGCCAGGGGCAATTTGTCCCTAAACCGCAAACCCTAAACCCCAACCCGCAGAAGTTGACTGGGTGGGGGTTCGGCATTTTGGGGTCTAGGGCTCAGGGGCTTCTGCTGTTTCGGGGCTTGGCTTTCTTGGGCCAGGCTGTTCCGTGGGTGAAGAACTGAGCCGCAGACAGGGTCTATGGTTTAGGACACCTAATTAAATCCGAAACCTCGGGGCCGTAAAACTTCATACTTCCCCATGCTGCTTAGGACCCGCCCAGAAACCTAGAA